ACCACTGTATATCTGTATCAACCATGTGTGTACCACTGTACCACTGTATATCTGTATCAACCATGTGTGTACCACTGTATATCTGTATCAACCATGTGTGTACCACTGTATATCTGTATCAACCATGTGTGTATTATATCTGTATCAACCATGTGTGTACCACTGTATATCTGTATCAACCATGTGTGTACCACTGTATATCTGTATCAACCATGTGTGTACCACTGTATATCTGTATCAACCATGTGTGTACCACTGTATATCTGTATCAACCATGTGTGTACCACTGTATATCTGTATCAACCATGTGTGTACCACTGTATATCTGTATCAACCATGTGTGTACCACTGTATATCTGTATCAACCATGTGTGTACCACTGTATATCTGTATCAACCATGTGTGTACCACTGTATATCTGTATCAACCATGTGTGTACCACTGTATATCTGTATCAACCATGTGTGTACCACTGTATATCTGTATCAACCATGTGTGTACCACTGTATATCTGTATCAACCATGTGTGTACCACTGTATATCTGTATCAACCATGTGTGTACCACTGTATATCTGTATCAACCATGTGTGTACCACTGTATATCTGTATCAACCATGTGTGTACCACTGTATATCTGTATCAACCATGTGTGTACCACTGTATATCTGTATCAACCATGTGTGTACCACTGTATATCTGTATCAACCATGTGTGTACCACTGTATATCTGTATCAACCATGTGTGTACCACTGTATATCTGTATCAACCATGTGTGTAGCACTGTATATCTGTATCAACCATGTGTGTACCACTGTATATCTGTATCAACCATGTGTGTACCACTGTATATCTGTATCAACCATGTGTGTACCACTGTATATCTGTATCAACCATGTGTGTATTATGTATATCTGTATCAACCATGTGTGTACCACTGTATATCTGTATCAACCATGTGTGTACCACTGTATATCTGTATCAACCATGTGTGTACCACTGTATATCTGTATCAACCATGTGTGTACCACTGTATATCTGTATCAACCATGTGTGTACCACTGTATATCTGTATCAACCATGTGTGTACCACTGTATATCTGTATCAACCATGTGTGTACCACTGTATATCTGTATCAACCATGTGTGTACCACTGTATATCTGTATCAACCATGTGTGTACCACTGTATATCTGTATCAACCATGTGTGTACCACTGTATATCTGTATCAACCATGTGTGTACCACTGTATATCTGTATCAACCATGTGTGTACCACTGTATATCTGTATCAACCATGTGTGTACCACTGTATATCTGTATCAACCATGTGTGTACCACTGTATATCTGTATCAACCATGTGTGTACCACTGTATATCTGTATCAACCATGTGTGTACCACTGTATATCTGTATCAACCATGTGTGTACCACTGTATATCTGTATCAACCATGTGTGTAGCACTGTATATCTGTATCAACCATGTGTGTACCACTGTATATCTGTATCAACCATGTGTGTATTATGTATATCTGTATCAACCATGTGTGTACCACTGTATATCTGTATCAACCATGTGTGTACCACTGTATATCTGTATCAACCATGTGTGTACCACTGTATGTCTGTATCAACCATGTGTGTACCACTGTATGTCTGTATCAACCATGTGTGTACCACTGTATGTCTGTATCAACCATGTGTGTACCACTGTATGTCTGTATCAACCATGTGTGTACCACTGTATATCTGTATCAACCATGTGTGTACCACTGTATGTCTGTATCAACCATGTGTGTACCACTGTATGTCTGTATCAACCATGTGTGTACCACTGTATGTCTGTATCAACCATGTGTGTACCACTGTATATCTGTATCAACCATGTGTGTACCACTGTATGTCTGTATCAACCATGTGTGTACCACTGTATGTCTGTATCAACCATGTGTGTACCACTGTATGTCTGTATCAACCATGTGTGTACCACTGTATATCTGTATCAACCATGTGTGTACCACTGTATGTCTGTATCAACCATGTGTGTACCACTGTATGTCTGTATCAACCATGTGTGTACCACTGTATGTCTGTATCAACCATGTGTGTACCACTGTATATCTGTATCAACCATGTGTGTACCACTGTATGTCTGTATCAACCATGTGTGTACCACTGTATGTCTGTATCAACCATGCGTGTACCACTGTATGTCTGTATCAACCATGTGTGTACCACTGTATATCTGTATCAACCATGTGTGTACCACTGTATGTCTGTATCAACCATGTGTGTACCACTGTATGTCTGTATCAACCATGTGTGTACCACTGTATGTCTGTATCAACCATGTGTGTACCACTGTATGTCTGTATCAACCATGTGTGTACCACTGTATGTCTGTATCAACCATGCGTGTACCACTGTATATCTGTATCAACCATGTGTGTACACTGTATGTCTGTATCAACCATGCGTGTACCACTGTATGTCTGTATCAACCATGTGTGTACCACTGTATATCTGTATCAACCATGTGTGTACCACTGTATGTCTGTATCAACCATGCGTGTACCACTGTATGTCTGTATCAACCATGTGTGTACCACTGTATATCTGTATCAACCATGTGTGTACCACTGTATGTCTGTATCAACCATGTGTGTACCACTGTATATCTGTATCAACCATGTGTGTACCACTGTATATCTGTATCAACCATGTGTGTACCACTGTATATCTGTATCAACCATGTGTGTACCACTGTATATCTGTATCAACCATGTGTGTACCACTGTATATCTGTATCAATACATGGAAACGTGTATGTAATAAAAGCTAACAACATGAACTATTATTATTATTATTATTATTATTATTATTATTATTATTATTATTACAAAGTAAAATAAGAGCGATAAAACAATAAAAACATTACTAAAAGAAAAAATAGCAAATTTCATAATTACAACAAAAATAAATGTTACAGAAGCAACAATAGAGCAATAGATTCAGTGGATACAGGACACTGTGTTCCACAGTGAGCTATGTAACAGAGCACCAAGATCTGATTGTGGAACAGTCACCAGGGTTGTGGGACAGTCACCAGGGTTGTGGGACAGTCACCAGGGTTGTGGGACAGTCACCAGGGTTGTGGAACAGTCACCAGGGTTGTGGGACAGTCACCAGGGTTGTGGGACAGTCACAGGATTGTGGGACAGTCACCAGGGTTGTGGGACAGTCACCAGGGTTGTAGAACAGTCACCAGGGTTGTAGGACAGTCACCAGGGTTGTGGGACAGTCACCAGGGTTGTGGGACAGTCACCAGGGTTGTAGGACAGTCACCAGGGTTGTGGAACAGTCACCAGGGTTGTGGGACAGTCACCAGGGTTGTGGGACAGTCACCAGGGTTGTGGGACAGTCACCAGGGTTGTAGGACAGTCACCAGGGTTGTGGGACAGTCACCAGGGTTGTGGGACAGTCACCAGGGTTGTGGGACAGTCACCAGGGTTGTGGAACAGTCACCAGGGTTGTGGGACAGTCACCAGGGTTGTGGGACAGTCACCAGGATTGTGGGACAGTCACCAGGGTTGTGGGACAGTCACCAGGGTTGTAGAACAGTCACCAGGGTTGTAGGACAGTCACCAGGGTTGTGGGACAGTCACCAGGGTTGTGGGACAGTCACCAGGGTTGTAGGACAGTCACCAGGGTTGTGGAACAGTCACCAGGGTTGTGGGACAGTCACCAGGGTTGTGGGACAGTCACCAGGGTTGTGGGACAGTCACCAGGGTTGTAGGACAGTCACCAGGGTTGTGGAACAGTCACCAGGGTTGTGGGACAGTCACCAGGGTTGTGGGACAGTCACCAGGGTTGTGGGACAGTCACCAGGGTTGTAGGACAGTCACCAGGGTTGTGGGACAGTCACCAGGGTTGTGGGACAGTCACCAGGGTTGTGGGACAGTCACCAGGGTTGTGGAACAGTCACCAGGGTTGTGGGACAGTCACCAGGGTTGTGGGACAGTCACCAGGGTTGTGGAACAGTCACCAGGGTTGTAGGACAGTCACCAGGGTTGTGGGACAGTCACCAGGGTTGTGGGACAGTCACCAGGGTTGTGGGACAGTCACCAGGGTTGTAGGACAGTCACCAGGGTTGTGGAACAGTCACCAGGGTTGTGGGACAGTCACCAGGGTTGTGGGACAGTCACCAGGGTTGTGGGACAGTCACCAGGGTTGTAGGACAGTCACCAGGGTTGTGGGACAGTCACCAGGGTTGTGGGACAGTCACCAGGGTTGTGGGACAGTCACCAGGGTTGTAGGACAGTCACCAGGGTTGTGGGACAGTCACCAGGGTTGTGGGACAGTCACCAGGGTTGTGGAACAGTCACAAGGGTTGTAAGACAGTCACCAGGGTTGTAGGACAGTCACCAGGGCTGTAGAACAGTCACCAGGGCTGTAGGACAGTCACCAGGGTTGTGGGACAGTCACCAGGGTTGTAGGACAGTCACCAGGGCTGTAGAACAGTCACCAGGGCTGTAGGACAGTCACCAGGGTTGTGGGACAGTCACCAGGGTTGTAGGACAGGGTTGTAGGACAGGGTTGTTAAGGTGGTCTTGAACCATTCATCACGTAGTAAGGCTGTCACATTACCGTCGTCATTTACGCTTTAAGAGAAGCGTATACTTCTGGGAAGTCGTGACGTAGAGTGACGTCACGCTACTGTAATCCGTCACGTCACGACAGCTGCCTCTCGTCCCCCCCCCCCCTCTCCCTTCCCCGCCACCAGACTTACTAGACCAGAATCTCTCCACATCACAGGATAGACACCATCAACCCCACAACCTTGCCCGTGGTGGGTGACGGCGACACGCGAAGGGCCACACAGTACGCCAAATTTAGACTGTGGGTTGGTGTGTGTACGCAACAGGAAACTGACGCTGGTACGACATCCCCGGTGGCGGCTCCCGGCAGCTCCTCGCCGGCAACGGCGCATAAAAGCAGCTCTCGCCACACTAGAGCCGCTTGTATTACACGTGACTTCAGACCAGCAGCTGGTGAAGAGTGAGCTCCGTCCGAGCGTCTGTGGTTCTTAAAAGATTTTTTTGCAACAGCAATCAGCGGGAAGTTCTTGAAGTTGGCGCGTTGCTTTGAGAGGATGAGGCTTCTGCTAGTGTTGTCCGCCCTGGCCCTGGGCTCGGCCCTGGCCGCCCCGCAAGGTGAGTTCTGTGGTCCTCTCCTATACTCTCTGGCACACCTCCCACTGTAGGTTTGGGGTCGCAATTTGCGCTCTTACAAAATGGGCTGACAGGTGTGTAGCCTACATACATGACTATGTAGCCTACATACATGACTACATGATGAACACATACTCGTACATGCTCATCAGTACATACATCCTGATCAATGCACATACACGTGATTACACGCTGATCAATACACACATCCATGCTGATCAATACACGCATCCATGCTGATCAATACACACATCCATGCTGCTCAATACACACATCCTGATCAATACACACATCCATGCTGATCAGTCAACACATACAGGCTGATCAATACACACATTCATACTAACTAGTACACATATACATCAATACACGCTGATCAATACACACATGCTGATCAATTCACATATGATGATCAATACACGCATGATGATCAATACACACATGACGATCAATACACACATGCTGATCAATACACACATGATGATCAATACACACATGATCAATACAGAAATACATGCTAACCAGTACATATACACGCTGATCAATACACATATTTGAATACAGACTGATCAATACACGTTTACATGAAAACTGACTGATACATAATACATCCTCACCAAATACACACACATACATGAATACAGGCTAACAAGGTACACATATATATTATAACTTGTTGACCAAATATACACATACAAGAATATGTGTTGACCAAATACACACACATATGAATATATGATGATCAATATACACACATATACATATATAAACACACACCTATAAGTTGTGGTGGAGGCTGACTCCATACACAGTTTCAAGTGTAGATATGATAGAGCCCAGTAGGCTCAGGAATCTGTACACCTGTTGATTGACAGTTGAGAGGCGGGACCAAAGAGCCAAAGCTCAACCCCCGCAAACACATATTAATGAGTACACACAGGTGTCAACGTACATGGCAATATATCCACCTCATCTTAATGGATATACCCCGTACACACATGGGTGATGATGTATACACACATATACACATGGTGTATATGTGTGATATACGAGGTGTATATAAGGGGTGTATACAGGACGTATTCAGGGCGGGGTGTTGCTCCACGCCCACACACACACACACACACACACACACACACACACCATAACACCCCACGACACCAACACTGAATATGGTCCCTTATGTAGTCCTCTTAACCGATCTCCTCCCAAATGACCCCTTCCTTACCTCCCCCGCCCCTCCCGATCTTCCCCCTCCCCTTCTTCCCCCTCCCCATCCTCCCCTCCCCATCCTACCCCTCCCCATCCACCCCAAGTGTCCTGAGAGAGGGACTAGCTCCGGACGGTGGGAGGGTCCTCGAAGCTGTAACCTCCAGTTCGGTCGTCCAATGATTCATTCCCTGGAACCTTCGATGACTCCCCCTCACCCTCCCCCCCCCCCCCCCCCCCCACCCATGCACGCGATGTCCTTGATGACCAATGATACGGGTTTGTCCCACCGACACACACATACACACACACACACTCTCTCTAGTCCCCCATTAATATCATGAAAAGCAGGAGACTACTTAGCTCCCTGCACTGTCATTGTTCCCCGTATGCCCATCGCTCGATATATGAGACCGTCTCCCCGTCGGCCTAGGAATCGACGCTGACGCCGAAATCCTTCCCGGAGGCATCAGGCCCCCGAGGCGTCGCCCCACAGCCAGAGGGAACGATGACGACGGCTTCCAGATCCTGGTGTTGGAGCCCCCGCGGCGGACTACTAGTCTCATGTCCACCCTCCTCCGAGGTACCCACCAGCCTCCTGCTTCAGGGCTGCTCCTGATGGCTCTCCTTCCTCTGTGGTTGTGGCGCTCCGTTAGTGGCACTCTCTGCGTTACTGGCAACACTCCCCTTATAGCACGGCCGTTACCGGTGATGTCGTGGCACGTTGCACTCTCACGGTTCTAATTGTGCACTTACTTGGGTTGGGTTCTCTCAATTCACACTATCTTACATACATCTCTCTCTCGATCCTCTCTCTCTCTCTCTCTCTCTCTCTCTCTCTCTCTCTCTCTCTCTCTCTCTCTCTCTCTCTCTCTCTCAATAGCAACGAAAAAAGTTCGCTTAAATTTTGCACCATACAATCATTGCATGTTGCACTGCATTCTATTGATCCCATTATGCACTCTTTTACACTGCATGTCACTGATAAATGTTCATTCATATTTGTTCTCTTATATATATGTTAACGAGACTACAAATAAGCAGGTTTTAGGAAAGGAAAGTGGAGGAGAGATGGTGAGCAAGACCTGAGTGAGGGAGAGGGCGGCAGCATTACTTCTGGGGGTAGCCAGTGCCAAGTAAGGCAAGGCGCTCTCACGGCGGCACCAGAAACACTTCAGGAATGCAAAATAACGATACGGTGTTACCCACACAAACTGGCCCTGAGAAAGAGAGGGTTAACCTTGCGCGCCTTCCTGTCTCCTTCCCCGTCACTATCGCGTCGCACCTGTCACTGCCCGTCACTCTCGCGTCGCACCTGTCACTCCCCGTCACTCACGCGTCGCACTTGTCACTGCCCGTCACTCTCGCGTGACTCACCCTTCCAATATACTCATGCGAAGTCGTCGGCAAAGTGCTTTGCCGACGACTGTCTATCGTTCTTTGAAGCGTCTTTGACCAACCCTCCACACTTGACCATTTGCTAACAAATTTGTTTTCCTATCGCGACAATGTAAGCCAGTCCCCGACCACCCAAAGCCTTACGGCAACCTTCCAGTCTGCTGCTCTGTACTTAAGTGTGCGAAATCTTCCACTTTCATCATTTCCAAAGCCAATTTCAAGAATATGTTACGAACAAGCATTCGCCCTAAACTCGTGTATTATGAAGGGACAATGTAGCTTAAATTACAGTTTGAGGAGGTTTCTGAAATCTGTTCTATACACGGGATAATGGGGTAAGGGAGATATGCTTCTTGTATCCTATTATGATATTCTTAGGGCGACGTGACGTCAAGAAGCTGCGAGTGTCTCGTTTGTCCTACAGAAGGCAGCGTCCCGTGACCGTCACTATTGTCAAGAAAGAACTATTCTTTCAATTGTTTGGGAAGCGTTTGTTTAAATATTTGGCATCGCGATAAGTCAACGTGCACACTGTTGCTAAGGCGCTGTTATGTTTACTATGGCGCTGTTATGGTTACTATGACGCTGTTATGATTACTATGGCGCTGTTATGGCTACTATGGCGCTGTTATGGCTACTATGGCGCTGTTATGGCTACCAGGGTGCTGTTACACAGCATAGTTGATAAAACTTTATTTTCACTAGTTTATGGTGTGTGTGGTTTTGCAGACTCACTATATCTATAGTGGTTTTGGTTTGTGACGCTGGTCGTCTCACCCCGCCCCCTCATATACCTTCCAGAACTGTTTGGACTCGGAGGTACTCTTGGAAGACGTACTGGAGGAGGAGCCTCCCCCGACACCCGGACTCAAGCTGGGGAAGATGCCACGCCACTTCAGGAGTCCGGCAACACCCCGAACCTGTTCTTCGACAGACCATTCTTCACTGATATCTTCAGACGCCCCTTCTTCCCCCGAGTGCCGTCTTTCTCCGGCCTGCCGTCCATCGACTTCTTCCCGGACCTCACAGATTTGCCTGACAATTATGACAACTCCACCCACGAGGTGAAGATGGTCAACGGGTCCCGCGTTGAGATGAACCGCACCGTCTCCAAGACGACCAACGACAATGGTGGCGTCTTCTACACTCACGTGCACACCATTAGGAGATTGCCGGAGAGCGCTCCAGACGCCGACAACAACGTGTCGGCCGCTGGAGGTGGTCCCCAGGAGTCCCCTGAGGAAGCTGATGCCCAGACACCCAAGTCTGGCACAGTGCCACAGGGCAATTCCGCCGACAACCAGGTGGATCCGTATGAGGACTTTGGGGTGAGTAACTAATCCAGTCATTGAGGACAACCACTTGCCAGTGCTATCATAATTAGCTTGAGCTTTAACTGTTAAGCTGCTTGATACAAAGTTAATGCTTATAATATTGTATCCTCATATGCTTAGACCAACTAAATTTCTTAACTACCATGACCTGAGAGCATCTCGTGCTTCTTGGCAGCCTCCAGCATCCTTGCCTCTCAGCGTCACTAAAATAAAGATATGAACAGAGACGTGTGTTTTATTCCCCTGCCTGAGCTTTTTCAGTCAACAGTTGCCAACATGGTGGTTCACCTCTGAGTGCATGTATGAGAACGCATCTAACTGGATTGCTTAAGTCGAGGCTCCACCATAACTGGATGCTTTCTCTCATCCTAAATTAAGTACAAAATAATGTGCGAAATTCAAGCTCCGGATCCTGGTGTGAGAATTGTAATTACTGACCCTTAACCAGGCCATTGCTTTGCCATTCCAGGACAGCTCTCTTCCCTGCTAATATTTAATCCCAAGCTAACTGTCGTTGCTAACATCCAGGTACAGCTAACCCAAATGTGATAATCTTGAGGTAAGTGCTTTCTTTGTGACTAAGATCCTACTCAGCATACGTGATAATTTCAAATTCCCGAAGCTTAAATCTTTTAAGATGAATGCCGCATCAAGCTTTCTGTAACTTATATGAACATTTAGTGGTTATAAATAATTACTGGCGCACAAAATAAATTGTAGAATTTGTCAACTAACTGAATGTTTTATCCTCCTCCGCGTAGCTGGCTTCAGGAGCCGCACAAACACGCCCCCGCCGATGGATGTTCAGGTGGCTTCAGGATCCCTCCAGGCGCGCCTCGACCCGCGCCCCCGCCCTCCACAACCACCCCAACTCCCTACATCTACCCACCGACAAGATCACATACAACCTTAAACCCAAATCTGCCACCGAGCTGAAGGTAGAGGACGAGATCTGGAGTAACCGAGTGCCTACACATTCCTCCCGGCCAATCAACAGTGTTATTGTGCCTAAGCCCACCACCCGGCCAATCAGTAGTGCCAGAGTGCCAATCATCAACAACAGTGACATAGCCGTCAACTACATCGGCCGAGTTCCTCGACCGTCCAATCCGGACGCCGAGATCTTTGATATTGATCTCGTCCGGAAAAATGAGCGGGAATATTTCGAAGGGCTTTCCCAGCCAATAAGAGGACAGCCACATGCATCCCAGCCAATCACTTCACAGCCTATGCTCTCCCGGCCGCTCAGGTCACAGCTGATGTACCAGCCAATCAATTCGCAGCCGATATTCCAACCAATCAGATCACAGCCGATGTTCCAACCAATCAGGTCGCAACCCATAAGGTTATAAGCAATAGTGTAAGTCTTCATGCGCAATCCCAAAGAATCAAGCTTCCCTAAGCTGATTGTTGCCTAAATAAGCTTTAATTTATTAAAAGTTGCTTATATCCAAATGTCACGTAATATATTTTGGTCTCTAATTCCTCCACGACCCCATCAGGTAGCTTCCTCCACGACCCCATCAGGTAGCTTCCTCCACGACCCCATCAGGTAGCTTCCTCCACGACCCCATCAGGTAGCTTCCTCCACGTCCCCATCAGGTAGCTTCCTCCACGACCCCATCAGGTAGCTTCCTCCACGTCCCCATCAGGTAGCTTCCTCCACGTCCCCATCAGGTAGCTTCCTCCACGACCCCATCAGGTAGCTTCCTCCACGTTCCCATCAGGTAGCTTCCTCCACGTCCCCATCAGGTAGCTTCCTCCACGTCCCCATCAGGTAGCTTCCTCCACGTCCCCATCAGGTAGCTTCCTCCACGTCCCCATCAGGTAGCTTCCTCCACGTCCCCATCAGGTAGCTTCCTCCACGTCCCCATCAGGTAGCTTCCTCCACGTCCCCATCAGGTAGCTTCCTCCACGTCCCCATCAGGTAGCTTCCTCCACGTCCCCATCAGGTAGCTTCCTCCACGTCCCCATCAGGTAGCTTCCTCCACGTCCCCATCAGGTAGCTTCCTCCACGTCCCCATCAGGTAGCTTCCTCCACGTCCCCATCAGGTAGCTTCCTCCACGTCCCCATCAGGTAGCTTCCTCCACGCCCCCATCAGGTAGCTTCCTCCACGCCCCCATCAAGTAGCTTCCTCCACGACCCCATCAGGTAGCTTCCTCCACGTCCCCATCAGGTAGCTTCCTCCACGCCCCCATCAGGTAGCTTCCTCCACGTCCCCATCAGGTAGCTTCCTCCACGACCCCAACAGGTAGCTTCCTCCACGTCCCCATCAGGTAGCTTCCTCCACGCCCCCATCAGGTAGCTTCCTCCACGTCCCCATCAGGTAGCTTCCTCCACGTCCCCATCAGGTAGCTTCCTCCACGACCCCAACAGGTAGCTTCCTCCACGACCCCAACAGGTAGCTTCCTCCACGTCCCCATCAGGTAGCTTCCTCCACGCCCCCATCAGGTAGCTTCCTCCACGTCCCCATCAGGTAGCTTCCTCCACGTCCCCATCAGGTAGCTTCCTCCACGTCCCCATCAGGTAGCTTCCTCCACGTCCCCATCAGGTAGCTTCCTCCACGTCCCCATCAGGTAGCTTCCTCCACGTCCCCATCAGGTAGCTTCCTCCACGTCCCCATCAGGTAGCTTCCTCCACGTCCCCATCAGGTAGCTTCCTCCACGTCCCCATCAGGTAGCTTCCTCCACGACCCCAACAGGTAGCTTCCTCCACGACCCCAACAGGTAGCTTCCTCCACGCCCCCATCAGGTAGCTTCCTCCACGTCCCCATCAGGTAGCTTCCTCCACGTCCCCATCAGGTAGCTTCCTCCACGTCCCCATCAGGTAGCTTCCTCCACGTCCCCATCAGGTAGCTTCCTCCACGTCCCCATCAGGTAGCTTCCTCCACGTCCCCATCAGGTAGCTTCCTCCACGTCCCCATCAGGTAGCTTCCTCCACGACCCCATCAGGTAGCTTCCTCCACGACCCCATCAGGTAGCTTCCTCCACGTCCCCATCAGGTAGCTTCCTCCACGTTCCCATCAGGAAACTTCCTCGACTAATAAGACGGAGCAGCTCTATTTATTTCTGATTTGGTGATGTGCTGTTGTGTATGCTTGGTACACTGATGTGTATGCTTGGTACACTGATGTGTATGGTTGGTACACTGATGTGTGTATGGTTGGTACACTGATGTGTATGGTTGGTACACTGATGTGTATGGTTGGTACACTGATGGGTATGCTTGGTACACTGATGTGTATGGTTGGTACACTGATGTGTATGCTTGGTACACTGATGTGTATGCTTGGTACACTGATGTGTATGGTTGGTACACTGATGTGTATGGTTGGTACACTGTTGTGTATGGTTGGTACACTGATGTGTATGGTTGGTACACTGTTGTGTATGCTTGGTACACTGATGTGTATGCTTGGTACACTGATGTGTATGGTTGGTACACTGATGTGTATGCTTGGTACACTGATGTGTATGCTTGGTACACTGATGTGTATGCTTGGTACACTGATGTGTATGCTTGGTACACTGATGTGTATGCTTGGTATACTGCTGTGTATGCTTGGTACACTGTTGTGTATGGTTGGTATACTGCTGTGAATGGTTGTCGTTAGTATGTGTATTGTTGCCGAGCTGCTGGGTATGTTTGGTGTGGTGTTGGGTATGGTTGGTGTGTCTCCAACACCAACATTCAATCATCAACTTACAATACTCATTTGTACACAATCAAAGAATTGTTCGTGATAAAAAATATGTATTAATTAAAGACATAATTATGTTCTGTCCTCAGTGTGTGTGTGTGTGTGTGTGTGTGTGTGTGTGTGTGTGTGTGTGTGTGTGTGTGTGTGTGTGTGTGTGTGTGTGTGTGTGTGTGTGTGTGTGTGAGCATAACTGTAGCCTTGTATTAACTAACATTATAACAGATAATCACACTTATACCAAAGATAATACATATTCTCTGTGGCTCGATTCTACTGAACTAGCGTCTGTCTGTGGGTATGTTTTGAACGATTACCTGGGTATTTTTAATTATTTATGTATTATTTTTAATAAATGAATTACTTTTGGTAACTTAAGTTTCCTTTAAAACCAGCTGACTGTAAGGACTTTATAGATGTTCCCATGGAATACATAATACAAGGAAAATGCTCTTTTTTCCTATTTATTAATCAGTGACTGTTACATAGCACTGTACCGCCATTACAGAGCTCACTTGGGATAAGCGGTCACTACTGTTACCAGACCAGGGAGTGATTGTTGCAGTAAGTTCCTATATGCATAATATAAATTGCTACTTTCCATTCATCACTGTAACTCTCTTCACTATACACGGTCTTCAACAATGAACTGCTGACGACTCCCCATTTCATGGAAATGGAAATGGCGAGCGCTATGTCATGGGTTCGTATCCTGGCCGGGGAGGATTGACTGGGCGCAATTCCTTAACTGTAGCCTCTGTTTAACGCAACAGTAAAATGTGTACTTGGATGAAAAAACGATTCTTCGCGGCGGGGATCGTATTCCAGGGACCTGCCCGAAACGCTACGCGTACTAGTGGCTGTACAAGAATGTAACAACTCTTGTATATATCTCAAAAAAATATATATATATCCGCCACCACCAGCTTGACCTTGGTAAGACTCCTCGCGTCCTCTCATTCACAGACTTCCCCCTGCAGTGACTCACTGCTCCCCCCACCCACTCGGCTCCTTGAAACGGTCTCTTTGGCATAACTTTTCAAGTGCCTCATGTCCCCTGTGTAACTCAATGTGAAAACGAATATTAATTCAATCGATTCGAGACAGCTCTGTCGCTAATGTCCAAGAAATGTTCTTTAATTTTATAAGAGATGTAGATATGTTACTCAAGATCCTAATCAGGTATCCTAGATTTCAGATTTCTGTCTTTATTATGCACCCCATACCCATCCAGTGGGTGGTGATGGAAAGGGTTACAGATGCACGTAATCGGTTCAGGAATTGAACCCCCAGGGGAGCCGGTCGGCCGAGCGGACAGCACGCTGGACTTGTGATCCTGTGGTCCTGGGTTCGATCCCAGGCGCCGGCGAGAAACAATGGGCAGAGTTTCTTTCACCCTATGCCCCTGTTACCTAGCAGTAAATAGGTACCTGGGTGTTAGTCAGCTGTCACGGGCTTCTTCCTGGGGGTGGAGGCCTGGTCGAGGACCGGGCCGCGGGGACACTAAAAGCCCCGAAATCATCTCAAGATAACCTCAAGATAACCCATAGTTCGTTTAGCTAAGTAAGTGATAATCTTTTGAAGCTAATTACACAATTGTTAATGTTACATATACATGTACATATATATACAATCATTTACACAAATACATATACACATCGATAATCTTTTTATATCACAAGTGATTCAACAAGAGGTTCACAACAGTCACTATACAAGGCACTTTACATCTGTGATGAGTCACACAGTTACTAGTCTTGCTCCACACCCACCCAACTGGGCGGCAGCTTTACAGTCATGTGCTCCACACCCACCCAACTGGGCGGCAGCTTTACAGTCATGTGCTCCACACCCACCCAACTGGGCGGCAGCTTTACAGTCATGTGCTCCACACCCACCCAACTGGGCGGCAGCTTTACAGTCATGTGCTCCACACCCACCCAACTGGGCGGCAGCTTTACAGTCATGTGCCCCACACCCACCCAACTGGGCGGCAGCTGCACCTACAGTCAGCAAATTTTGGATACTTCGCTAACATTCCTGGCAGCACATCATTATGAATGAAGTACTTACACATTTCTTGGACTCCATTGATGGTTTTATCTCTGAATTCTGCGATTCTGTTCACTTTCCATTATATAATGACACAAAGTATGCTCATAGTTCTGCTGACAGAGTTTACATTTAGTCCGGGGTAAATCAGCAGATGTTACAAACTCCCAGAGGTACTTGTAGCCGAGCCTAAGCCTAGCAGTGATACTCTACGTTTGTCAATGTATGACAAATGTCACGCTCTCAATGTATGACAGATGTCACGCTCTCAATGTATGACAGATGTCACGCTCTCAATGTATGACAGATGTCACGCCCTCAATGTATGACAAATGTCACGCCCTCAATGTATGACAAATGTCACGCCCTCAATGTATGACAAATGTCACGCCCTCAATGTATGACAAATGTCACGCCCTCAATGTATGACAAATGTCACGCCCTCAATGTAGGACAAATGTCACGCCCTCAATGTATGACAGATGTCACGCCCTCAATGTATGACAGATGTCACGCCCTCAATGTAGGACAAATGTCACGCCCTCAATGTATGACAAATGTCACGCCCTCAATGTATGACGAATGTCACGCCCTCAATGTATGACAAATGTCACGCCCTCAATGTATGACAGATGTCACGCCCTCAATGTAGGACAAATGTCACGCCCTCAATGTATGACAGATGTCACGCCCTCAATGTATGACGAATGTCACGCCCTCAATGTATGACGAATGTCACGCCCTCAATGTATGACAAATGTCACGCCCTCAATGTATGACAGATGTCACGCTCTCAATGTATGACAGATGTCACGCTCTCAATGTATGACAGATGTCACGCCCTCAATGTATGACAAATGTCACGCCCTCAATGTATGACAAATGTCACGCCCTCAATGTATGACAAATGTCACGCCCTCAATGTATGACAGATGTCACGCCCTCAATGTATGACAGATGTCACGCCCTCAATGTATGACAAATGTCACGCCCTCAATGTATGACAAATGTCACGCCCTCAATGTATGACAGATGTCACGCCCTCAATGTATGACAAATGTCACGCCCTCAATGTATGACAAATGTCACGCCCTCAATGTATGACGAATGTCACGCCCTCAATGTATGACAAATGTCACGCCCTCAATGTATGACAGATGTCACGCCCTCAATGTATGACAAATGTCACGCCCTCAATGTATGACAGATGTCACGCCCTCAATGTATGACAAATGTCACGCCCTCAATGTAGGACAAATGTCACGCCCTCAATGTATGACAGATGTCACGCCCTCAATGTATGACAGATGTCACGCCCTCAATGTAGGACAAATGTCACGCCCTCAATGTAGGACAAATGTCACGCCCTCAATGTAGGACAAATGTCACGCCCTCAATGTAGGACAAATGTCACGCCCTCAATGTATGACAGATGTCACGCCCTCAATGTATGACAGATGTCACGCCCTTAATGTAGGACAAATGCCACGCCCTCAATGTATGACAGATGTCACGCCCTCAATGTATGACAGATGTCACGCCCTCAATGTAGGACAAATGTCACGCCCTCAATGTAGGACAAATGTCACGCCCTCAATGTAGGACAAATGTCACGCCCTCAATGTAGGACAAATGTCACGCCCTCAATGTAGGACAGACGACAACACTGTTAGTCACTTGCTCAAGCGACCATTTAAGAAACTTCCCGTGAGTATGAAGGACTCATCTTGCCAGAGCTCAGCGGACACCATCGCCAAGATTCTGAGTTTTAGGTAAATCTAGAATACCAGCCTTGACTGAGTCCCTGACGGCCGAGGCTGCTTATCCCGACACGGGAACCTTTTTTTTTTTTTTTTTATTAACATATTAGGTACATCTGCATTAGTGCAGCTACCCTAGACTATATGAAGTGGAGTACAGTGTGTCAAAAAAAGCTAACTAGGTGATGCTATAAAATCCCCATCACACAGGATGGTTAGTCATACAGAGGCATGTGATTAGCGGTCTGCACTGGCAGACTCCGGATGCATTTTGAGGATATCAACAACACAAGATTGAATAAGGTAGCAGTGGTAATACAAGTCCCCATCTCGCAGGATGGTTAGTCATACAGAGTCATGTGTTTAATAGCCTGCACTGGCAAATTTTGGGTATACTGTGAGGATATCTTCAAGAATACGAGAGTGAATAAAGTAATTGCAAAGCTCCAGGTACCTCATGCCAACTGGTCTGAAAGGTCTAATAATTGGGCATTCAGTGATGTAGTGCGGGAGATCATGCCGTAGTTCCTGCTCACAGAGTTTGCAACTGGAGTGCTCAGGATTGGGAGACCCGTCACCTGCAGCCACCTGCCACAGGTAACGGTAACCCAACCTGATCCTTGCAACCACTGTGTCGCACAGTCTAGTGGACGTTTTGTGCTGTCCATAGATGTAGGTTTCAGATCTGAACAAATCATAGCTTTTTATACTAGTACTTTCAGGTCGTTGGGAGTCAGTAAGTTCTTTCCTATCAGATCTGAATGTTTGGACCAATACAGTTTTGACAGCAGAGATAGGGATACCTAGATCTAATTCAACTTCAAACTTGTTACACGCTAATTTGGCTGCAATGTCTGTCTCATTATGATGGGTTATATTTATGTGTGAAGGTATCCATACAAAGGAAATTCGAGACCCTTTACTCTGTGCATCAATTAGGTCATTTATAATTGGGAGTATGAGGTTCTTGCTGTCGATCTTCCAAGAGAAGTTTTCGATTGCTTGAAGAGCAGACTTTGAATCGCAGAATATTATTCCTCCTCCAATATTTTTTAATGTGCTGGTTGCTAAATGTAATGCTGCTAGTTCTGCTTGTGTGGAGGTCAGCCAGTTGTTTAGCCTGACACTGACAGACTTTGTGCAAATATTATTTCTATAGAACCTACATGCCGCTGCAGTCCGTCCAGTAGAAGACTGGACTGAGCCGTCGGTGTAGACACAGTGCTCGTGAGATCTTAGACTCTCGATGGAGGAGGCAATTGTTTCAAGAGTGACAGCTTTGAGTAGAGCAAGATTCTCATTATCTTTCTTGGTGACAGGTGTGTATGATACTTGAATGGTGGGGTACAGATAAAGAGGAATATCAGAGACTGGTAGATTGCACTTAAAAGGAATGTTAAGTTTAATGAGATTGTAAGCATTGTTTCTCAGCCAATTATCATAAAAGGAGTGAGTTGGTATGTCGGCACCAGTCAAAAGGGTGTTAACAGCACTAAATAATTTGTCTCTGAGCAATGCAGGAGATGTAGGATCTCTCATGACTTTAAGACAGAAGGTAGTGTTAACTTGCATTATTCTCTCTAGTATGGTTGGAAACTTCAGTTCTTCCCTCATGTTGATGATTCTTGTGCATCTTGGGGCACCAAGAATTATCCTCATGGCCTCGTTCTGTATTACTTCAAGTTTGTCCAACACAGAGGAGGGGAAATTAATTAAGTGACACGGGAACCCCGTGAAGACACTCCAGGAAACTCTACGGGTTTTCTTGACACTGATTTTTGTTATGAGAGGAAATTTCTTGCTAGTAAAGCATCTTTTTTTGTGTTAATAAGGTCATTCAGAATATTTTATTGTTTTATCGGTTAGTGTCCAGCCTCCGGCGGTGAGTCCAGTGACTCTGGCACCGCTCTGACATGTACTGGACGGTGCCTGGACAAGAGCGAGAGCAGTGAACTAGTTTGTTTAGACTCTCTGTGTTCTGTTTTACGGGAGAGTTAACGCCAGTCAAGTTGAAGAGAAACGCATCCCCCGGCCAGCCAGGTGGTGCCCATTACTATCCCTGACCTCTCTATCCTCTCCCTTCCCTGACTTACTCTATCCTCTCACTCCTTGATCTTCTCTATCTCTCGAGTCTTCTCTATCCTCTCCCTACCTGACATTCTCTATCCTCTCCTTCCCTGAGCTTCTCTATCCACTCCTTTCCTGCCCTTCTCTATCCTCTCCTTCCCTGACCTTCTCTATCCTCTCCTTCCCTGACCTTCTCTATCCTCTCCTTCCCTGAGCTTCTCTATCCACTCCTTTCCTGCCCTTCTCTATCCTCTCCTTCCCTGAGCTTCTCTATCCACTCCTTTCCTGCCCTTCTCTATCCTCTCCTTCCCTGAGCTTCTCTATCCACCCCTTTCCTGCCCTTCTCTATCCTCTCCTTCCCTCACCTTCTCTATCCTCTCCTTCCCTCACCTTCTCTATCCTCTCCCCCCTGACCCTCTTTATCCTCCCCCTGCCTGGCCTTCTCTCTCTCCGCGTACATCATGTGATGCATTAGTGGAGCAGGGGAATCACCGTGACCTAGACACTGTGGACACACAGCCAAGGCCGGGCACCGCACACATTCCCGCCGTTAGCGAGAAGTGTGGCACAATGACTGAGGCGCCGCGAGACCCACTATCTCCAGCGCCGCCTCTCCCCGCTCGCTGCCCGGCTTCCGGACCCGTTTGTGTTATCGTAGAGTTGTAACGGTAGCGCGTCCCCGGGCAGCTGAGTCCCCGGGCTGCTGCGTCCGCGGGCAGCTGTGTCCGTGGGTAGCTGTGTCCGTGGGTAGCTGAGTCCCCGGGCTGCTGCGTCCGCGGGCAGCTGTGTCCGTGGGTAGCTGAGTCCCCGGGCTGCTGCGTCCGCGGGCAGCTGAGTCCGCGGGGACTGATATGTTTGAACGTTTCGATTATGGTCATTTGGTATTCCAAAGGGTTAGAATGAACTTGTCGTGGCATTGTTGAGTTACTGAGCCTACTGGGAATTATTAAGGCCACCACAACAGTTTATACTCACCAACTACCAATTATACTTTAGTCCTAAACAGAAGTCCAAACAGTCCTAAAGTTTATTGTGTTTAATACAGACATTCTATTATTCTTGTCATTGTGAGAGATGTTGCAGCTCTAACATGTCAACATTCTTTACTTTTATATAATAACATCAATTTTCACAATGAAACTAATTTAACAAGAAAAACAATATTATTACTATTATCAATAACAAAATTAACATTTCAGGATTCAAATTATATTTAATTTCAATGAGGATTTAATGTGCAAGCAAGAAGGCCGCACCACCAGCACACAGCTCCTCTTGTAGTACACAAATTGAAGTTCCAAATGCCGTACATAAAGCCAGATCCTTCCACGATGATACAGTAGACATCCATCATACACACACATACCTGTGTGTGTATGATTGATGATATTGACCAAAATTGTCCTAATGGGGGCCCCATCCCAGCACCCTCGACGAGGACTGATACAGCCACAACAAATAGGCTACAACCCATCCTCCTGTTTAGACAGAACCTATTGTGTCGGTCGTCAATAGTCACGAATTCGTACGCACTTAGCTCTTAGATAGTAGTATACTGACTAATAGAGAATTCTTTTAAAATAAATGAAGCTAAAAAATCAAACTTTTCAATTTTTTCAAAAATCAAAATCAAACAAAATCAAATATTCCTAGGCCTAGTATAGCACACATATATGTACTATATTAGGCCTCAGATATCGTGTATTAGGCCTAGAGAGGCTAGGATAGTTTAATTTGTCAAAGAATCACAAGTAAATAAATAGTTTTCCAGTTTGTCTAAATAGTTCAGATTTCTACTTTCTAATTTAGCTGTACGTCGGTATATATACTATGGTCGTCATCGCTACTATAAGTGCTGCCATAACAGGAGGATGGGCTGAAAAATGGCATTCCCTCGTCTGCTGACTGCCAATAGAGGCCCCCCACACCGTATATCCTAATCACCCGAGGACGAATCAGCGAGATGTTTACAGATTCATCATTCATGACTCGGTGTGCCAGGCGGTGGAGGTGGGGCCCTCGGGAAGAGCTTGAGGATGTTGCCGTGGACGGGTCTGAGGATGAGGTCCCCGTTGAGGGCGAGGTCCTCGCGCCTCACCGCGCTCTCCACGCGGTACTCCCTCAACACGCTGCTCACCACCACCTTCTCCTCCATCATCGCGAACCTCTGACCTGCGAGTTGTTTGTTCTTGTTTTAGATTGAGCTACTCAGAATGACATGTCCATGTAGCACGGGCTATAGTGAGTAGCTACGTCCGAGTAGCTACGTAATCACAGACTTATTACTATCAACATCTATTGACAAAAATTAATAAAAAAAAATTGCCTAATCTAAGTAATTCAATTAGGTCTCATTAGAGTGAGGATAATGCTGGTATTCAGTGTCACACAGGACAGAGGCTCATACATAAGACAATATATCAAAACTATAGGCTAAAGCACATATATATATCATGGTTACAGTCAACTACATTAGACAGTAAACATGTTTCACTGTACGATTAAATAAATATAACTTTCTATTGTGCACTGCCACACAAGGGCAGGGATGGGTTCATAAGTGATGTAGCTTAAAAATTAATGTAATTGTTCTTCATTCTTTAAAATGAACGAGCAAATTTAGGGTACATTGTTAGGATGTCGTCCGGTACACCAGATTCAATGACATGGTTCCCGACTCGTGACAACACGAAACAAGGACTGAGTGTCTCTCTCTTCACGAAACAAACACGATGGGAATACTATATCAAATAGCTGGAACTATAACATTAGATAGCCTCATACGAGATGTTGCAAAGGACAAAGTTAGACACAGTTATGCCTATGGTTAAATATTATAAGTTAGACTAGTCAGATTAAAGTAATTGTGTTTGAAGTATTGTATATTAAAAAACTATATCTGGATAACTTAAAAACATTTGGAATTCTGTTCTTTCAAAATTGCGTGCATAAAATCCCACGTTGTAATACTGAAACAAATCGTCAACTTTCATAGAGGTATTATTACGTCAAGAGTTGTTACGTAGTCTCCCCTTCACCGTAGTCCTGCGACCCAGCGCTACAACGTTACTCACACCGACACAGTCTTACGTCAGCACTTACGTCACGTCGTATCTTGCTTCCACATCAATGTTATTTTTAGACGCACTAATCAGAAACTACCTGTTTGTGAATATATATATATATATATATATATATATATATATATATATATATATATATATATATATATATATATATATATAAATATATATATATATATATATATACACAAACAGGTATATATATACCTGTCTACACAAACAGGTATATATATATATATATATATATATATATATATATATATATATATATATATATATATATATATATAAACTAGATTCTCCAACACATGTCTAGCTAGCAACATACCAGAGACCATACGGCCTATCTTTTTTGGCGCTTCACTCTGTGCCCTGAGGAAAAAAGATGGAGGAATCAGACCGATAGCTGTGGGCAATTCACTCCGGCGTCTCGTCGCTAAGGCTGCTGCTAGAGCAGTTAGTCAGGCAGCAGCCGACATGCTGAAGCCAAAACAGCTTGGGTTTGGCATTCCCCAAGGGTGTGAGGCAGCGGCTCATGCAGCTAGAGCCTACATTGCCAACATTACGGATGAAAAAGCCCTGATAAAACTGGACTTCAAAAATACTTTCAATCTGGTTAGAAGGGATGCAGTACTCAGTGCAGTTCATCGCCTTTTTTCCTTCCCTCTACCCTTTTGTAAACTCATGTTATAGCAAGAATCTAACTCTGCTATTCGGAGAACATGAAAATGAATCACAAGAAGTTCGTTCGCGTTCATACAGCTTTCTCACACATGTTAGACTCAGTGCGGCCCGTGCATGCGCCAGAATTTGATGAAAAACTGTACCCAAATGGATCCATGAGTGTCGTCGGGGGTTGGTCAGTCAGGGAGCTTAGTTAATAAGCGCCAAGACTGACCAATCCTTATAGACGATCATTGGTGCGGTGGTCACGGTACTGTGTACGTTTAGGGGTGATCCTGGACGGCATAGGTTCGAATCCTGGCCGGGTCAAAGAGTTCTTAGTGATATATGGCTTGCGCGTTCATGCAGCTTTCTCACACACACACATATTATATATATATATATATATATATATATATATATATATATATATATATATATATATATATATATATATTTTTGTCTGTAGGGATAACGTTCCTATCAACAATATCTTATAGGACCTATCAGAAAAAAATCAGAAAATACAATTGACGATTTACTATAAAACAAAAAAAACGGCCAACCTACTCATGAAAAACTCTCCAGACACAAAGTAGAATGCCTTGAAGGAAACCAACGTCGTCTATGCCTTCAAATGCCCACTTAGGGACTGTAAGCCCGAAAGAACACAGTATATAGGCAAGACAACAACGTCTCTTTCCAGGCGATTAACAATGCATAAACAACATGGCTCCATAAAGGAACATATAATCTCTTCTCACAACCAGACTAACACCAGAAAAATCTTAACACACAACATAGAAATCATCGATAGATACAGCAATAGCAGGCGGCTCGATATCTGCGAGGCATCAAAAAGTCAACACCAGCAAAAAAAAAAAAAACCGACAAAGGTTTAAAGGTCGTGGAAAAACCGACGTCCTTTAATAATCTTAGTTGCAACATGTAGATAATTGTGCTGCTGCTCTTGTACTAATCAATTACCCCATAGTAACACAAATTATATTATTTACCCATGCCAATAATATTAGACTTTAATATATTATCACGCGGCCAACACAAGAGTGTGTGGAGTGGGCGATTACCCTCGTTGTGTCACCAACTCAATAGTCTCTCCTCTAAGTTACAATACATTGCCGTTTTCTCAAATAGGCACTGTGCCTATTAGAGAAAACGGAAATTTAATGGCAAACATATTCATACAAACCCCAAGTCGATCGAGTAGTATATACCCACTATAACACGGACCGTAAATGTACGTCGTGATCCGACAAGCGCTTAAATAAACCGCCCGTACATCCAAGTGAAGATGGCACGAAAGTGATCATTAATTAAAATATCCAACAATCACTAAAACCCCCAGTCTAGCATTAGAATCAATAAAAAAGTATTCTCCATAACTGGATTAACTAAACTGTTAAATAAAACCAACGCCTCCCTACCCTTGTCCATAAATGAGCAGAAAATTGAACCAGTTTTAAGTAACGTCAAATTGAACCAGTGTTAAGTAACGTGGGGAAGGAGGACGCCGTTGTTTAACCAGCAAATCTCATTGTATAACCACATCATACTCGTGACCCAAACCATCTTTACGTTTTCTACTGCCGCTACCTCAAAATAACGGGAGTACCTCGTTTCCAGTTGTGTAAAACGTTGTATCTTTTATTACTGAGCTCTTTAATATTAGTATAACAACCGGTGATGAGGCAGGCAAACACCCAAAATCGGGTGAGCCTCTCACAATCACGTAACAAACAATAATATGCCATATCCATGATTAGGAAGTTATTTGCTGTAGCTATATTGTATCATTCCGGCAGATCTGTGGCAACCTGGGGAAACTGGCAATTACCCATACCTGGCTGATTGTCCTCGTGTCCCACTAGTACCCAAATTGAAGCCTTCTAATCAAATAAGGCTATCAATCATTTATTTTAACTAAAGTAGATTAACCAATTAGCCAATTAGTATAAATTTTCCTACCAATCGATAATTCTCGATTGATAAGCTACAACTAATAAACTTCCGAACTTGTGTAGCGATCTGACTTGTGGGAGAATTTAAATTTCAGATTCAGATTCAGATTCAGATGTTTATTCAGGTAAGGTATATACATACAAGTGATGTTACATTAATGGATTGATATATAGATAGAGCTAGTACATACAATGCCTAAAGCCACTATTACGCAATGCGTTTCGGGCAAGAAAAACATTAATATCTAGAACTTAATACTAATTGAGCATAAAGAATAAAAGATGTTGAGAACAAATACAAATAAAGATAAAAAAAAAAGGGGGAACATGACTGAAAAAGCAGCACAAATACAATAGGTTGACAAACAGTGTTGATTACAAAAAAGAAAAAAAAAAGAAAATAACAGACATGGGTTGACAATAGAGGAGTGAGGTAGATTACAGGGAATTTATTAGGTAGTGTTTCGTTTTTATCTTAAACTGGTTGAGAGAGGGACAGTCTTTAACATGGTTGGGAAGGTCATTCCACATTCTGGGCCCCTTGATTTGCAGAGCATTTCTAGTTTGATTAAGACGTACTCTAGGAATATCAAAACTGTATTTATTTCTGGTGTGGTGCTCATGGGTTCTGTTACAACCTTCTATGAAGCTTTTAAGATCAGGATTGGCATTATAGTTTCATTAAATTCATATACAGTCCACTCAATTATTCATAGTCCACTCAATTATTCATAGCCCACTCAATTATTCATACAGTCCACTTAATTAAGCATACAGTCCGCTAGGTTATCGTAAAAATTAATTAATTAGAAATTAGAAACTAGAATTAAAATAATAAATAAATTAAAATAAATAAAATCTCATGAGTCAGAATTCCCCACAGGCCGCCCCGCCCCCCTCAGGTGTACTGTAAAGTAGACACGTATCAGCCACTGTAGACACACAGGTGAAGTCCCACACAACCTGTTTACCATTTATCCATGACTACAGGGTGACTCCGCCTGGGAGCTTGTCAGGTCTGCATAACTGAGGTTCCCTTTGTGCTGGCAACTTAATACACGATCAACAATGTGCAACAGCATAGAAATGCGAATAGATGTAAAAAAAATATGTTGTAAACAAGAGAAAAGTCAAACTAACTTGTTGTTGAGCCACGACGGGACAAGTGCTGGATCTGTCTGGCGTTCCGTTTACGGTAAAACAAAAACTCTTGTAGTTTTGTTCACGTCGCCGTCGGGGAAAAAAACACTGTGCCTTACGGCTGATAAACACACTGTTAGGCAGATGTTTGGGGAGTCCTGGAGTCCCTCGGGGAGGAGAGCCGCGGACACACTAACCACTAAAACCACATTAACCGCTTCCACTACGAGTCTTCAATTAATGTTGCCGTCGCTTTTTCTAATAAGCTTAAATATGACAGAAAATGGACCACTAAAGGCTAACTATGTTAATTTAAAGAGCTAGTTACAAAAGAAGAGAAATATTCTTTAAATTTTGGATTTATTTTGGAATCCACGTGCTTCTCAAATATATTAGTCAGTTTTATGTTGAGCTCCATCTAATATTATATAATTGTGATTATTAATTACGTGATCATACCCAATAGAAGGCTCTCTTATCATGGAGTTTTCATAAGTTTGATAAAAAAAAATTACAATTTCATGAAGAAACTAATTTATATTCATATTTATATTTATCCAACATACAACAGCGCTCGGTGGTCAACATGGGCATAGATATTTCATCGAATCACCTCACTTTGTGGGTCCACGTGAGCAACACAAACGCAAACTTGAATGGTTCCCAAGCCAAAATGCATATTGGCATATTGTTTGCCAATATGCAACAGCATATTTTTTTTGTTTTCAGTTATATATATATAAATATATATATATAAATATATATTATATATATATCTACGAAAGAAAAATTTATGCTAGTCTTTCCAGTACTACCAACGTTTTGTACAAGTACTAGTACAAGGATAATACAAGTATTATACCTCCCCCAGCCCCTCCAAATTTATTTAACTGCTTACGAGATCCGACTTTACGAAGTCGTTCTCAACGCAAGGTTATTACTATTATATGGACGACCTCGTAGTACTTAGCAACTCAAACTAATATCGACTACGTAAATATGTCAACTAAGCCACCACGATCGAGGAAAAATATACAGATATCGCAAGTATGTTACAATTGTATCATTTGTATGGGTATTTAAACCTCCAATCAAAAGATAAACTCAAGAAACAGATTTAAGGTTTAGCTCCTTGTATAGTAATTAAGTTCAGATGCACGTCACGAGATATTGATGAGGTGGCATCGTGACGGACACTAACACCGGACGCACACACTTATTGTGCAAATATTTGAGTTCGAGACTAATCCAGACTCACCAATGCAGTTCCTGGGGCCGGCGCTGAAGGGGACGTAAGCGTACGGGTGACGCTTGGAGGCGTTCTCTGGCAGGAAGCGGTCAGGGTCGTACACCTCCGGCCTGGGGAACTGTTGAGGGTCACGGTGGAGACGGTAGGTGATGATCATGACGGGGGTGCCCGCGGGGATGTGGTACTTGTCTGGTGACCCGTCGAGGGGACGCCAAGAACACGGACACAAAATATAGAATCTTCAATGTTTAAACATATTTCGTTATAATGGTGTCACTGGCACGACAGATCAATTAATTCAATGCTATCACTTTCAACAAGTAGGAAGGTAGAAATAGCCTAAGCTACTCTATCCCTTTGAGATGTATTTATTGCTTATCTCAATAAACATACTTGAACTTGAACTTCAACAATTACGGATGTCTTGTAACTGTACTACAGAATAAGACAAAGTTTGCATAAACCAGAAGGACATGTATCCGCCATATTGTCTAGTCTTACCAATAACAGCGTCTGTCTTGAGCTGTCGTGCCAGGAAAGGCACGGAAGGGAAGAGTCTGAGCGCCTCCTTGATGCAGTTCTCCAGGTACTTCATGTCTCGCAGGTCTTCCATAGTGGCTGAGCGATCACTGCTTCCGAAGATCCCATCCAGCTCCGCGTGTACTCGTGCCTGTCAACAAGAGTCTCTAATCTGTTAACAAGAGTCTCCAGCCTATCAACAATAGACACCAGTGTCATCAAGAGACTCCAGTGCCAACATGAGTCTCCAGCTTGTCAACAAAAGTCTCCAACCGGTCATTAAGTCTTCAGCCTTGTTGGAGACTGCCACTCACCAGTCAAGAAGAGTTAAAACGACGGCTTGAAGAACAGGATGTAATTTGACACTACTCTCAAGTAAAAACAGGACGTAATAGAACGGTAAATTAAACAGAAGAACAGAATGCAATATGGCCCAGACCTTACAAGAGAACCGGACGTACAAGGCGCTAGTTTTACCAAGAGAGACGTGTGAGGGTATGAAGAGTAGCAGCAACATTGAGGTAGCCAACGGTGGCACCAGTTCTCTGGGTGTCCGCAGTAGTTTGTCTAATACCTGGATGTGTGGGTAGGATCCGATGAGGTAGAGAATCCAGTTGATGGCGGCGGTGGTGGTGTCGTGGCCCTCGAACATGAAGGTATCCACCTCCTCCCGGATGTCCTCGTCAGAGAGCGGCGCACCCTCACACGAACTCTCCAGCAGCAAGTCTAGCAAGGCCAGGCGCCTCTTCTTGCCTTCGTGGGAAAAAAATGAGACGAAATGCTTTAGTACAGCTTCTATCTGGATACTGTATAGTGACCGTTGACGTAGTTACTGTCGGGTTGGTTTCCTTTACAAGTTAAAGGTATAACTTGATGTATATTTGCAGGCGATGAGTCACAATAACGTGGCTAAATTATATTGACTAGACCACACACTAGAAGGTGAAGGGACGACGACGTTTCGGTCCGTACTGGACCATTCTCAAGTCGATTGTGACACTCGACTTGAATGGTCCAGGACGGACCGAAACGTCGTCATCCTTTCACCTTCTAGTGTGTGGTCTGGTCAACATAATTGATATATATTTCTACGTGTGAATTATTCATTCAAATCCAACTTTTTCAAATAAAATAAAACTACCTGAACATTTATTATGTAATATATCGTGAATATTTGTACTTTTCAGCGAAGGAAACGATAACTCTCAACAATGATAATTTAAAAGTAATATAAATTGTCACCATGTAAAGCGATGAGTCACAATAACGTGGCTGAAGTATGTTGACCAGACCACACACTAGAAGTTGAAGGGATCGACTTGAGAATGGTCCAGGACGGACCGAAACGTCGTCGTCCCTTCAACTTCTAGTGTGTGGTCTGGTCAACACCATGTAAAGATTTGTATCTCACCAATAGCATTATCATCATCACTGTAAGTCATCTCTTCACTCTTGTTGTCCTTCATTTGACGTTTCTTTCTGATGGCGCTGTTGGAGAAGTCATGGAGGACTTTGAGGCATGCTCTGTGTTTCTTGGCGGACCCCACCAGCTCGAAGATCCACTCAGAGTGTTCCCAGGGGCGAGCTATCCTCTGGAGCACCAGTGCGGTCATCCTGTGTAGAGTATGGGTAACTGAATCGTAACTTATGAGTCTAATTTATCAGCTGATATTGGGGCATAATTGAACCCAAGTTGGATCTTAATTTTTAACGTTGATTCATTTTCACTCCAACACCTTTTTCTCTGCTGGGTTGCTTCGGTGCAGTGAACACACAATAGTCTGGTTAGTTGATTGGATGCAATTAAAGACTGACAAAGCAAGCGTTCAAAGGTTAGCAAATTATCAGAGGAATGCACTATGTAAATACTATGAGCATATAGCACTTGGAACGGATATGAGGACATGCTAAAAGCTAGGATATGAGGATGGACTGAAGGAGCCCAACCGCATAGACCATCGAGGATCAAAGATATACTCTGCAAAACACTAGACAATTGCTCAACTGACCATTCTATATAGCGGGACAAATTACTCCAGCACCTGGTCTCGGGCCTAAATTGTATACACTCAACTAACCAGATTCGCTGGAAGATGAGGAGTTCAAAAGTCAGTCACTCTTAAGAGATTAAGGAGTGTATTGAGATGGTTGGAGCATACTTTACGAATGAATACTGATGGAAAGAATGGCGAAGAGAGAGCATTCAAGTGAATTTGTGGAAAAAGAATAAAAGAAACTCCAGGAATAAAGCTGCACATTCAGGATGAGTCAGTGTGTGAGGAATCGTGAGCTGAATGTGAATCAGTTTAAGAAGTGATTATTTAACACACTTTTGAAGACAACTCGCACGAACCATTGTACCTCTGGTAGTGTGAAGCGGTGGTGGCTGGTGTGGACGACTGCTGGAGTGTGACAGGGCAGGTTCATCACCTTGGCGGTTATTGCCGAAGATAAGGTGAGCTAACTAATGTTTTTTTAGGTATTTTTTACCTTATTTCTCGTCTTTACTTTCAAATTTCCTTCATGATTGTTTTCCTGAAACCTCCCCTGCCCTCTTCCCATGAAAATGGATAAAAGAGCAAATATAATAAGATTACGATTTTCGTTGACTGTGAAGATCCGGATGAAGTAAAACTGTATCGTGGTGACAACCGAATCGTAGAAAGTAATTGTTTATATGATCAAGACTCACCTGCTCACGTGTTGACAGCTCTGATGTATTATACACCTTCAGCACCTGTTCACAGCTCTGATGTATTATACACCTTCAGCAACTGCTCACTGTTGATAGCTCTGATATATTATACACCTTCAGTCCTACTCACCTGTTGACAGCTTTAACGTATTCTGAGTTGCTGTTGTCCTGGGCATTGATGACTTGACCCATCGCCGTTTCTGTCGGGAAGAATCTAAATATTCATCTCAAAATGGGAAGAAACTGGACAGTTAGGCCTCACCGTGAACTAAAATTAGCAATACATATATTTGCTTATAATATATTTAAAAGTAAAATATATTTGTAGACAAACTAATTGCGTTCTCTCATTAATTGGAAAGGGACGGAGAGGGAAAGAAAGAGACAGACAGACAGACAAACAAACAGGTAGACAGACGGAGGCACTAAAAACCAGGACACAGCAAGGGGGGAGAGAACGCGCTTCTAGTGATCTTTTTTTATTATTTTACGTATACTGTACATGTAAACACATTTTCCTTACACCGCAAATGTATCGTAAATTGTCCATCTCTACTACCCTTCTTCTTGTTTTGTTCGAGATCATACCAGAGCAGCGTGAGACATCCCTTGAGGTTACCTTGAGGTGCTTCCGGGGCTTAGTGTCCCCGCGGCCCGGTCGTCGACCAGGCCTCCTGGTTGCTGGACTGATCAACCATCCCTACACAAGTGTTGGCACTGACAGCTCTCAGGCAGTTTGGCTTCTCTTGGCCTCTTGTTATCTCTAGCCAGGGGTTCATGTGCACTCTCTCCTGCCCTCAGTAATGTGAAATATCACTGTTTTTGTCCACATTCACTTTCACCAGTCGGACGTTAAATCTGATATACTTCAATTATTATACGGAAATGTGTATATCCTGAAGAACCTATGGGACATCAGACAGGCGTAGCGTCCTGCACCGTCAGTGCCAGACCAGTCACCCATAACAACACTAGCTCTCTCGTGCAGGCGAGGAGTCACAATAACGTGGCTGAAGAATGTTGACCAGACCACACACTAGAAGGTGAAGGGACGACGACGTTTCGGTCCGTCCTGGACCATTCTTAAGTCGATTGTGACACCATTCACAATCGACTTGAGAATGGTCCAGGACGGACCGAAACGTCGTTGTATCTTCACCTTCTAGTGTGTGGTATGGTCAACAATAGCTCTCTCATCTGCACGAGATCCACACACGCTAAGAAAACTCTCCCAACAACACCTCCTCAGCCATTCGCTCTGAAATTCGTTCAATATTTCATCAAATTATTTTTTTCCAAACCTGTATAAAGCTAATAAGATCATGGCTGTCGTGTACCGGTTTAAAACACGACATCTTTAATTTCCAAGAAGATAAATTTACAAGTATCTGTCTGGAGACTTTTCTAACTGATTAAATGTAGTTACAAGAGACGGATTAAGACCATGGCTAAAATCATTAACTAGAGACCCAGAGTAGTGAAGATCGAGGTATGCTGTATATTTGAATAACACCCAAAACAGCCAAGAGCGAGGAATTTATTACGTACCACAAATGATATCAAGCGTGCAGAGAGTAATGTTTTGGAAGATGTCGAAAGGTTTCCCATCAGCCTTGTGTTGCAACTTGTGGACCAGCGTCTTGCTCTGGTTGTTGAAGACCTCCAAGAAGTCTTCAAGGATCTTGAAGTGGAAGGCAGGAGTGAGCAGTTTCCTGCGGGAGTGCCATTTGCTGCCTGCACACACAGGCAGCACCCAGTGTGGTGTTAAAAAGAGGGGACGTAAGATACAGACCTGAGTTACAGGTCACATAGTGTGTCTGAGGTGGAAATGTGAACACATTTTATATATTTTGTGAGCAGATTTAGCATAATTAACCTTGATATCTTTCAATCAACAGAAGACTAATAATGACTGTCTTATTCAACGTTTTGACACATAAGTAAATTGTGATTTGATTTATATATATCGCTGTTGGTCCATCACCTTATAGAGAGTTATGAAGACCAACACAATAACTCACAAATCAACCAGCAAATAAACTTTAGTTCTGAATATTCCTTGGAACTAAATTAAATTATAAATATATATACACCGAGGAACGGAATACAATGAGAGGTATAAATTATACATTGCGCCTCTATCAATACATGGTAAAACTAATCTTGTCTCCTCACAGTTCTTTTCAGAGATTACAAACTTCTAAAATCTTGCAAGTTAAAGAGCTCTTAAAATCAAGTTCGGGTCCTATCCCGAACACACTGCCAGAAAACTAATAAGAGTTGGATAAGCTGATTACATCCACTCTGAAGGAATTTCAGACACTCACCAGTGGAAGTCAGAAGTCCTGTCCCCAGCCAGGGATGAAGGAAGTTGTAGTCTGCGCTCTTGTCAAGGTGGGCAGTGTTGCTCAGGATTGTCTGTCGTGAGGAAACATATGAACGATGTTGTTCAGGTCATGCAACCCCCACTTTGTTGTATGTTGGTGGAGGCTTAGATTATATGGCAGGAGGGTGTAGGGAGGAAAACACAGGCACATTGACACCTGTGTAGGCAAGGGTGAGGGTTCAGTACACAACAAATACACTAAGTGTCTCGCCTTGAGTGTGAGGACAGAGTATGTACAGCGTTAGTGTGTTAAGCAAGACACGTAAAGTGAAATGGTCAAGACATATGTAGGAGGAAGCGTGTATCTGTTGACTGATGAGTGTATCTGTTGACTGATGAGAGTGTATCTGTTGACAGATGAGTGTATCTGTTGACTGATGAGTGTATCTGTTGACTGATGAGTGTATCTGTTGACTGATGATTGTATCTGTTGACTGATGAGTGTATCTGTTGACTGATGAGAGTGTATCTGTTGACTGATGATAGCAGATGACAGTCACAATAACGTGTCTGAAAAATGTTGACCGAACCACACACTACAAATTGAACAGACGACGACTAATGAGTGTATCTGTTGACTGATGAGAGTGCATCTGTTGAGTGTTGAGAATATCAGTTTACTGTTGGGATTGATTTTATTGAGTGCTGAGAGTATCTGTTGGCTGTAGAGTGCGTATATGTGTTGAGTGCTGAGAGTGTAAGATAGAGCCATACTCGCCTCAACAGCCGAGGCCTTGACAATGTTGATACGGTCGATTGGTCCGAAGCGAATGCGGTAGATGGCACCCCTAGTGCCCCAGATGTAACTGTTTGCGATCACGTGACTAAATAAGACTGAAAAACAACAACAAATCAGCCGGCCGCAGGTATGTCAATCTTAATTTTTAACTACTGCGAAAATATATATATGTAAGAAAATTAATCACAATAGCATGATATATGCATGAGAAAATCTTTGGAGCAGGATGGTTTGGTCTTTTATATCAGCCCAGCCTCCTGTCTTGGCAGTACTTATAGTAACGATGAGGACCATAGTACATATACCGACATACAACGCAATTAGAAAGTAGAAATCGGTATTAATTAATTTGGACAAACAGGAATAGGTTTAGTATTTATGTTGCAAAGATAACCTAAACCAGCCTAACCTTCCTAGGCCTAATGCACGCTATCCGAGGCTTAATATAGTGCATATATGGGCTATAATAGGCCTAGGAATATTTAAGTTAGTTTTTTAACTTCATATTTTCAGATTATAAAGTGAATAGTACAAAATTCTACTATCTAATTGATTAATACGTCAATATTTGTACCATAGTATAAGTATATATATATATATATATATATATATATATATATATATATATATATATATATATATATATATATATATATATATATATATATATATATATATATATATTATACAAACAGATGCTAAAAATTAGCTTATATTTATAATGAGATAATTGAAACAAATTGAGGAGTCGTCCAGAATGTTGCGAACAGTTGACACGAGGCTGAAAGGTGAGGGACCCGGCACCTTGTCCAGCAGGCTGCTCTGTTGAACACACAGGTGTTATATCTCTCTCTTAACTAAGCTAGTGTTCATTAACTGATGCTGATGTTGAACAAATCCACAAGGGCCGTGACGAGGATTCGAACCTGCGTCTGGGAGCATCCCAGACACTGCCTTAATCGACTGAGCTACGACAGGGTAAAAGGGTTGAAACCGAAGTTCTACTGAACTTACTGGATCCCGTAGCCTCTCCGAGGCACAAACCAGGCTGACGCAGGTTTGAATCCTTGTGGATTTGTTCATTTGATGCATCACGTTAGTGTGATCTCTGGGTGTGATGATGCTGATGTTCTTCATGAGACTGCAAGCTTGGAGCTGTTATACTACTTTAGTGCATCTCATGCCTGACCCATGACAATTATTTATTTAATGACATTGTTTTAGTCTTTATTAGGAACATACAATCATTTATCTTCCCAATAATATAATACAACTTAATAATACTGTACAATATTTCACAATGATTAAGAACAGGTTCCATTTTATGGAATATTATTATGAATAACAATTTAAAAAAATAAATTCCAATAATGGCACAAGTAACAACAACTGATATGTTTAAAACATGTTAGGCACACATACAGAAATATTCACACACACACTTAACACCATTCTGGGAGGTGAAATCCTGCAAGAGTCAAATAGAGAGAAAGATCTGGAGGTCGATATCACACCGAACCTGTCCCCAGAGGTTCTCATCAAAAGGATATCACCCGCACACTCAACACCACGCACACTCAACACCCCGCACACTCAACACCACGCACACTCACCACCCCGCACACTCAACACCCCGCACACTCAACACCCCGCACACTCAACACCCCGCACACTCAACACCACGCACACTCAACACCCCACACACTCAACACCCCGCACACTCAACACCACGCACACTCAACACCCCACACACTCAACACCCTGCACACTCAACACCACGCACACTCAACACCCCGCACACTCAACACCCCGCACACTCAACACCCCGCACACTCAACACCCCGCACACTCAACACCACGCACACTCAACACCCCGCACACTCAATACCACGCACACTCAACACCACGCACACTCAACACCCCGCACACTCAACACCCCGCACACTCAATACCACGCACACTCAACACCCCGCACACTGAATGCCTCATACCTTGCGCATCCTGCCGAAGAACCAGAAGATAATGAAGGTGACTATGATGGTGATGCCGAGGAAAGTGAACCAGTCCCTCTGGAACCTCATCGCATCTTCTGGCAGCCACGACATGTTGCCGCTCTCGTGGCCACAAACAATATTCCTTCAGTGACACAGAGTATAACCTTGGTCAGTCCATAAGCACCCTGAAAACTACAATTCACTTAGGAACACCAACAAAATTGTATAGCTCTGATACAAAGGGAAATTACAGTAGCTATTTCATCAATCATCTCACTACCATGACAGAACGGCCATATATATATATATATATATATATATATATATATATATATATATATATATATATATATATATATATATATATATATATATATATATATATATATATATGTGTGTGTGTGTGTGGATCTGTTATGAATCCCTAATACTTGATTCTAACATTTATCATGAGAAACATGTATGTTCATTTTTCTTTTCTCAGTTATTTAAATTTAACCTTTATGTCCATTTGTTTTCCAGTATACACGTTTGAGTTAAATATAGCATGCTGAAGTGTGAGTGAATGAAATATTTTGTTAATGTTACTGCATGGTTATTCATGTGGGGGAGGGCTGTGACGTCTCACTGGAGGGGGGGGGGGAAGAGGATGATCATATATGAATGTTCCTATAATGCGTGCAGTGTATCAGCCTAGCGTCACTGATTCACCCCTGTAAATACTCCAGTTTCTTGTATGTTCATATTTCCTTAATTACACCTTAGCAGTGTTATATGCATATAAGTTTAGTTATAATTATGTTCTTATCACTCTCAGATAGCAGAGTATCTAGAGATTTCATGTGGTGTTAGTTGGTAACTTGGGTGAGGCTGGCTAGGGTGGACATGTTAGGAGATAAGACTTTGGTACCTGTTTATTGTATAGTAACATAGCTAATTGCCTGGTTAGACCGACTTATATTGAATTTTGCAACTAGCTCATCAAGATTGTAACTTGCTTAGCTAAATGAATTGTGGGAATATTTTGTTTGTCTAGATAAAAGTAAAGCTGCTTGTAGATTAGTTTTTCAAATATTTTTGACAAATTTGGCAGAATCGATATAGGTCTGAAGTTGTTGACAGCAGCGAGATCACCACATTTATGGACTGGGGTTACTCTCACTTTAGAATATCTGGAAAGGTGCGGAGTTCAAGTGATTTGTTGTCGAGCAATGCAATGGCAGGAGCTAAAAATCTGGAGGCTTTTTTGTAAATTAGAGATGGTATCTCAGATAGGAACTAGACTGATTGAAGGGAAAAGATTATCTCATTAACATCAATGGAGTTAGCAGGCGTTAGGTACAGAGACTGTGGATAGTTACCTGTAAGGTAGCCCTTGACATTAGTACGGGAGGATGTAATATCATTAGCAAGGGATGTCCCAATGGATGAGAAGAACCTATTGAATTCAATAGCAGTATCAGTGGCTGAAAGCAAACCGTCGTTGTTGGATAGGAGTATTGGTTTTTTATTTAGAATCTTTTTTTTATCCCAATATTTGGGAAACAGTGTTCCATGTTTTCTTAATATTGCCCTTAATTTTGGTGAATTTATTTTCGTAGTATTTTGTTTTAGCTCTCCTAATTATTTTAGACAGCACTGATGAGTAAATCTTTGAAAATTCTTTGGGGACGACTCCTAATCTATACTTCTTCTCAAGGCTGAGTTTTCTAGAGACTTCAGCTCTGATAAGGTCTGACTTGCGGAAGCAGCTATCTAATTTCACACGAATTTTCCTGTTATTCGAACCAGATGTCAGTTCTAGGTGATAGTAAAGAGTGATAGTAAAGATACCCATTCTAGATCTAAATAGTTCTTGGTGATAGTAAAGATACCCACTCTATAAGCTGATTTGATGTCTCTTGCTTGAATTGAATAACTCATCTTATTTTGCAACTCCTGGATCACGATGGCAGCACAGTCTTTTCCATCAGTTTCTTGGGGAAAATCACGTGAAGGGATAACAACAGAATCAAGGAGCTAATGTTGGTCTGATTCGTCTTGGGTAACAGTGTGCTGCTGTTGCAGGGTATTAAGTTAGGTCTGAAACTTTTGTAACATTTCTTCCTGTTTCCTAGTGGGTTCTACTGGTTTAAGGTTAGTAACTATGTTCTTAAGCGAGCTTAAATCCTATTCGAGAAGGCAGACTTTGGTAGCCAGATCTTGATTATTCTTGAGCATGGCTTTAGCTTCAACTTGTAAGTTCATTATCAAGGCCGACTGCTCTTCGATTACAGACATTTGGTCTTCATGTATCTGGGTTAATATCCTGAGCTAAGGGTTATCAGCGAAGCGCTTGAAGTCGGAACAACTTCTTATCTGTCTAATCTGTGTTTTCTCCTAGAATTATCTTTTTGATATTCTACAGAGCCTCTTGGCAATAATTACTGTGGCCAGACTCGTAATTAGTTTCATGTTGAATGAGATTCAGGACAGTTTAATGCTACATATTTTTAGCAAGGAATTTCATGCATAAATTATCGAGAGTTGGCCTTCCTGATTTGTTTGGAGAAAACATGCATAAAAGTGCCAATTGTTTATTTATTTTATGAAAACACCGGAAAATCGTTGTGTATTGGCAGCCTACTGACGAAGGCGTACATCAGTGTCAGACTGTAGGCCTACTTCATTGTTAAACTGTATGCCCACTTCATTATGAGATTGTAGGCCTACTTCAGTGCAAGAATGTAGGCCTACTTCACTGTCAGACTGTAAGTCTATATCATTAATTGTAAGAATGTAAGACCACCTCATTATCAGATACTTCACTATCAGTCTGTAGGCTTACAACATTGTTAGACTGCATGCTTACTCCATTGTCATACTGTAGGCATTAATTAATTACAGATCGTATATCAGATGTTAATGTAAAAAAAAGCTTGTCGACTGACAGGAAAATTTATAACCGCAACAACTTTACATTCAACCTTCAGGTATACTATAAACCCAAACCGAACTTGGAATTAAAGCAAGCTGTGTGTGTGTGTGTGTGAACCTTGAACCTAAACAAGAACAGTTGACTAGAGCGCGTCTGGGAACACTCAGCGTATAGATTCGAACCCTCATCAAGGCTCCTGTCGATTTGTTCTGATATATCACGTTAATGTAATTTCTCTGTGCACCTTGAACCTGTTCCGTGGTCTAGCCTGGTTCCCCGTCTTCACATTCCTCTTTAACGATTGGCTGCGTTAGTTGACTCCTGTTGATACTGACTCAGTGGTTATACCCCCCTTGTTCATACTAACTAAACCTGGAACGTTGAGGAACTGTTCACTTGAAACAGTTAAGCAAGTCCCAGCTGTGTCTGGGTACAAGTGACAGGATGAACAACCCAGCGGGTTTTCTTCCTATTGGGGAGTGTTGTACATGCTGCTATGGCGGTATATTCACTCACAAGATGAGTGGCGCTGCCCAATAAACTCGCCCCTCGGGGCAAAATTTAAAAATTTAAATCTACTGCTCACAAGACGCTGGAAACACACGGTCTGGGAAAAGTGTATAAGGTGAGGATGACACGTACCTTGCCCCTGGAGTGGTGTGGTCGCTAAGCGAGCAGTGAGTGACGCTGCTCCCTCCACTGGCTTGGGTCGTCTGAGCAGCACCAGCTGTGGTCTCGGTGAGCCGCACAGTAGATGATTGTTCTGATCATAGCGAGCTGCGGGTGTCCATTACAGACGAGAACTGAAGCATTGTAACATTGGGTTTCAGTGGTTTGTCGCCGAGGGCACGGAGTTTGTCGCCGAAGGCACGGAGATTGGTTAACAAGACTATATATAAACAACCCTCCCAACTAAGCCTAAATATCTCAATGAAACACTCAGCTCTATAATGCGACAACGAAATTCATGCTGGGGAAATTCCAGCACTATTATGGCAACCCAGTGATGAACCCCAGCTCTAATGTGACAACCATGATGAGGAACCTCAGCTCTAATATGGCAAACCAGTGCTGACGAACCCCAAATATATTATGGCAACCCCAGCTCTAATGTGGCAACCGCGATGAGAAACTCCAGCTCTGATGTGGCAACCCCAGTGCTGACGAACTCTCAGCTTCATTATGGCACTCTAGCAACCCGTCCTCTTAAAAATAACGTCACTTTTGGCTGGTATGCGCGGCGCTATGGCCAAATATGGTCACTGCTTGCATCACAAGCGGGGATGTTTCTGGCGGGGGAGAAAGAAACAATTGCGCAGCGCGTCCCGCGGCGTTGCGCGGGCAGTTTGGGGTCGTATAAATACGGGCGCACAATAGGGCTCCGCCTCACTCCGCCTGCCCTCGCCGCTGCCCTCGCAAAACCCCACCCTCCCCCCCTTTGCAAGCGGCTCCTTTTGTACCCCCGTCATGCTTTGCACAGTTGTCCCGAGTGTCTCCCCACTGCATGTGGGAAGGGGGGTGCAGCGCCGGTCCCCAAGTGTCCCGCTGTCCGCAGCTAATACTTTGCCCAGTCTAGGTGCTAGTAAGCCCTACTTGTAGTCACACCCCCTTCTCCTTATCCATTAGGTCTTTTACGGCCTCTTGGCCGGGTACATTACGTGTTATGTGGTCTCTCACTTATTAGTTATTCTTTGTGTCCTGCCTGTTATATCCTAGTGTTATATAATTACTACACATTTGCACTCGGCCTTAATTCTAGTACCAGTTAACCTTTAGGTTTCTGCAGAATTAGTTTCCATGTCACTATAGGCTAAGGTCTCATACTTACTACGGGTGTACCTTTTAAGTTAAATCTAGTCCTTGGAATTGTTACTGTTAATTCTTACTTTATATATTTACTTTATATATTTACTTTATATATTTTAATATAAACGTTATATATTCCTTAAATTATATTTGAAACTTTGTATATTTACATGTTCAATATTAAGTTTTATATAATATCAACTTTGTTAAGTCTATAATATAAACCGTGTTTAATATAAACTTTATATAATTACTTACTTTATGTGAACTTTATATATTTACATGTTCTGCAGAATTTAATCTTCAATAAACTTTAACGCCCCATACTGCCAGTATCTTTCTCCCCCTGGTCAGAAATTGGACGTAATTTGAAATGAAATCGACTCACAAAAGTGACGTACTGTCCCGTTCTGTTTGAGTCGTCCGGCTTACTTGGTAAGCCGGACGACTCAATTGGAAACTTTCAATTAATGTTTTTCATACCGATTTGAAACTTTATGAGAATTTCCTGCCCACCTAACCTATCAGAGGACCTTTAACTTACTGTTGTTGAAAAAAAAATCCCAAATTTATTTTCATTTTTTTTCCCAGCTTACTAATATAGCCAAAATGGCTTGACTAGTAATTTAAATCCTATTGAAGTCAGATCCCTGTTACACGAGCAGTGTGTCCAGTGAGTGTGATCCAGGTAAGCCCCTGACACTGCTGATGCAGCCCGTCCTCCAAACAAAGATCCAAAGCCCATTCCATCCACCCGCCAAACCCCCTGTTTATGAATGAAAAACAGTTTACATACGATTCACAACTGATGACGTCCGAACACTTCCGAAACAAGTGCTTCGCTGACGACTTTTGTTCGAACTGCAACACTGTAAACAGCCCGTCCTCCAAATAAAGACCCAAAAGCGATTCCATCCAGCCGCCATACCCCCTGTTTATAAATGAAAAACTGTTTACACACGACTCACAACTGATTTCGTTCGAACACTTCCGGAACAAGTGCTTCACTGACGAATTTTGTTCGAACCACAACGCTATAAATGCTTCACCCACGTACTACAAATACAATTAATCGCCAACAGAACCTAAACACCTAACCTATACCTATATATGCACAATATGCTAATATATTATAATATTAATTTATATTTGAGAAAATTTCCGTTTTGAACGAATAACATGTAAAAATTTATTAATGCGTCTGTGGGGTCTAAGGGATTATACGGAGTTTGGGACTGTGGACAGGATAATTGAACTCCGGCTTAGTAATTATATATCATCCACACAAGCTGAACTGCAGGCCATTCTGGCGTGTTTGGAGGAAGTACGTCATGACGACAAAAATGTTTTTGTATTTGTCGATAGCCGAGGAGCACTGGAGTCCTTAAACAGTCGAAACCCAGTCTTCATGTCTATAGTGGAGGACTGTAAGAGAAGAATAACTGAGATACAGCTGAAAGGTTATAGTGTGAAATTCATGTGGATTCCGTCTCATGTTGGAATAGTGCTCAACGAGGTGGCGGATGACTTGGCCAAACGTGCCACATCAAAACCACAAGTTGACATTGAATGTGAATTCACAATGAGACAAATAAGAAGCAAAATCAGAAATATTCAGGCACAGGCGGGAGTGGAGAGGAGAGAGATAATGTATGAGAGAAGTCAAACCATGCAACACTACATGTATGTGAGTCAAAACACCCATTTCACTTATGGTAAAAGGAGAAATGCTTGGAGTGACTCTGTGTACATGCGGCTCAGGCTTGGGTACAAATATTACTGGGAATATGGGATAGATGTTCATGGTAATGACACGAAGTGTAAACTATGTGGTATGTTAAGGTCTCACACCCTTGCCCATTATATTCTTCATTGTCCGTTGATTAATGTATATAGAAACACTGAGATAAGGACTGTTCCTGAACAAATAGCCTGGATGTGTCACAACGGAAAGGTTGATGATATTCTTGAGAGATATAAGAATTTTGCACCAAGATTGTAATATTTTGTTGAATTATCTGCAGGTGTCTTGCAAATTGTCTATACAGTATACCTAGGTCATAAAAGTATTTGTGTGTACGTCTGATACCATACTACTTGTGAAGGAGGAAATGTATATGTTTACCTCTCAGAATGTTTGGTAATATGTTTATTGTTTGTGATGTGTGTCTATGTATATATTAACACGTTGTACTGAATGGGGTGAGAATAGCTTGAGCTACCTCATCCCTTTGTGTGTATTTTACCTCAATAAACTTATTTCAATTTCAATTTCAATTTCAATTTCTGTGGGGTCGACCGCTGGATGTAATGGACTTGAGTCGTGGACGGGATGCACACACGTGCTATAAATACAAATAATCGGCAACAGAACCTAAACATCTAACATAATGTAACCAGTGCCTAAATATGCACAATATGCTAATATATAATAATATTCATTTTTATTTGAGAAAAGTTTTGTTTTGAATAAACATAATGTTAAAATTGATGAAATGTGTCTTTAGGGTCGACCGCTGGATAGAATGGACTAGGTGTGAGGACGGGTTAACTGGTGCTAACCCGCTTCAACTACCTGTAGAACTCTTTGTTTTACTGTGGAGTAAAGTATAGGTTGAGCAAGTCTTTAATTCATAAGGACGAGAGTTCTTTTATAGTCCCTTGAATTGCGTAATATAATCAGACTCTTGGTAATGTCAGATACAGTACTTATTTCTGCAGTGAAGTTAATATGTTCTACTACTTTCGTCTAGGAAGTTTCAAGTCAGAGTTAGTAATGAGGAATAAGGCTTTTTAAGTGTAAATACCACATGAGAGTTTCGGAGCTTAAATAGAGAGGCAAAATGTCTGAAAAATAGAACGTGATATCTCTATTTGTATGTGTGATGATGGACTTGAGGTTGTTTGCTGTGTTGAGCCGCAAGCACAGATAACTGAATTAATAATATGCGTGAGAACAGTAATCTCGTGATGAAAGCTATTGTTATTTTTCTTTTAGGAAGCAGACTGTTTTGACTATGTGTTGTAAGTAAGAATTGAATTAAAGTCTCTCTCTGTGTACAAGCCCACGAATCTTCTCTCTCTTTAACACTCAATGTTTACATTATTTATTTGAAGGTATATTCAGTTAGATGATTTTTCAAATAAAATGTAGTAAGCTTAATCTATTTATTGAGCTTGTTGGGTGACATTAATTTATATAATCAATAACATCTATGTGATGTACGTGGGTTGGGGATAGATAAGGCTAAGGTTGTCATCAGCAAATAGGCTTAAAGTTAAAAGCATTTGGCTACACGTTATATAGAAAATAGGAAGGGTCCTAGTATGCTGCCTTGGAGTACTTCTGTGGTTATTGATGACTACACATTGGTAGCTGTTGTTCATACAATTAAATATATCTCAGAGAGGCCTTGAATTCTGTATGTTGAAATTTAAGAGGTATTTGGGGCATCGAAGGCTTTTCTTAGTTCAAAGAAGAAGGCAAATAAGAATTATTTGTTTAGTTTTGAGTAGATTAAGCAGATTGATACTGTTCTGAGATCTGATGCACAATTAGCCGGTACTTAGCATGTTGAATATTAAATAAATGTTAGGAAGGTTTTGAGTACAGCTGTTTACATATTTTCTTTTTAAATAGTGTTGATAATACAATACTGGTAGATATATCGAATCGTAATTTGTGTCATCTGTATCACCTCCTTTATGCATAAGAGTTACCCTAATTTTTTTTATAATTACATCAGGGAAAGGCTTGTGATTCGAGAGATTTCTTTAAGAGCAAAGCAATAGCTTGATGCAAGTTCTTGAGCAGTTATTTTCACATCATAGCTGGTATTTCATTACTGCTACACAATTAAAAGACAAATGTTCTGGGAGGGACTGTTCAGACTCCCGTAGTTTTTACCACATACCATTTTGGGTTAAATTTCTCATTTTCAAAATCCTGGTGAGGGGCCTGTGGTGGTGGACCAAACGTATCACTGAAAGTGGCATAGTGCAAAGTACCAGATTGGAGCCCAGAGTATGACATTATAACATCCCTACAGAAGCGAGAGGGATAAGCAGTGCTATCGTTACAATCATCAGGGAACACTTGAAGAACAGAGGGCTGATCATGCTGGACGGTCCAGTAGTAGCCACGGGCCGTTGCAGGGTACTGGGAGGAAAGAGGGACAAGGATAAATCATTATGGTGATCAGGGGGTGGAATACGTGAGAGCTCAACTCGGTAGAAGCCATGGAGCCAGCTGGGAGTTGGGTAAGGGTAAGAGCGATTTGTGGACCCGAGCCAGGATTCATAAGGCATTTACGCAACCACTTAATGTGCACCTTTCAACAATCATGGCGAGTTTGTTTACGTTTATTAAACAGTTTACGAGCTCTCAAACTTCACAACCCAAGATGCCAGATGCAAGATGTCCCCATCCCCATGCTACCATGGGGATGGGGACGAAATGCACCAGATTAGACTAGTTGCAGTTCAATGTCCAATCATATCAGCATGTCCAGTTCAACTTTAACCTTCCTGCCTTTATGAAATGGCTGTCAAGTGAGAGTGAACATCTAGAACTGCATTTGCATTAATGTGCTGATGTCCTTGGCTGCTAGTGCAGCAGTCCAAGACTTCAAGTTATTAGGTAATTCAGCAACAATATCACCCACATTGTTTCTTAAGTTCCAAAATAATGGTTCAAGTGATTATGAGGTAACTAGATACTTCCTACAGAAAGCACATGATGAGATGTATTATAATGACAATGCGAACTTACGAGCTGTGACCAGCAATAACCTGATTGATCAGATGTACACTAGGGAGCCCACTCTCAGGCTGGGGAGTAAGAGCAGTAAAATTCTCAACAAATATGCAGGAGTATTTCTGGTACAAGAAGGTTTGCACAAATAGCTACAGAGCAAAATAATCAATAAACCAATCTTTAAATGACTGATTGTAGTTGCCAGCGGCACCTAATTTATTTACCAGCCTAGACTAATCCTGTGAGCGGTGACAATACTCATCCTGTGAGCGGTAACACAAAAGTATTACAGAGGGCACAAAAGTCTGTTGCCAGACCATAATGAATGTTTTTAAAAATGCTTTTACATTTTATCTGCACATCTTACACAGTACTTAATTATATAATATGGTAATAAGTAACAGAACATTTCTTGCACTGGAGGAAAATAGTTTTGGCAATTCTGAACATAATTTTCAATACTGTATTGGATATTAGTGGGTAATAGAGTGTTGGTTATGTATGCCTATACACTATATATTTCTATCACATATATATTAATTCATCCAATGAAAGCAAAATATGGATACAGTTCAAGAATTTCAAGCATTATATAATTAGCAATTAAATTATTTGCCATTTGATGCATGTAAGTGTAGATATATTTTTAAATGACGATATTTTCACACAGTATAAAATGCAATGACGATACACTGACTCTAGTGTGACAGTGCATCGTGCATACGTTACAATTCATGTGATCTTGACCTCGTAAGATGAACTCTCAGGCACTTACAGCAGTCATATCCGAGCCCAGACAACATCGGTCAGTCTGATTTTGTTCTTAGTCCCAGACAAGTGTTTTGTTTACCATTTGTGGTAGACAATGTGGCTTGCTAGTTCGTTTGCACTCTTCTGCTTTCTTCAAATTCATCCAAGAGTTCTCATTTAATTTAATTAAGGACAGTCTAGAATTCTATTTGATATCCCAAGATTGTGTATATTGGCTTTACTGCAAGTTTGGTAGTCATCAACTTTATCATGTTCTTGCATCCCAACATATGAAGAGATCCTAAATTACTAGTTTGACCCTTTTGGATGCATATACATTTATGTCTGTCTTCAGAGTTAATCATGTTAAAATTTGACTGCAAGCTATTTAGAGCCAGTAATGAGGAAAGAGAGTTCGAGACAAGTGAAGCGTCTGCAATGTTTTTCATAAATTTAGAGTGCTACAAGTAGACCCAACAGTTCATCTTGTCAGGTTGATGCCCAATTATCAAGTCTAGATAACTGTGTTACTGTTATATTAATTGTGTTACCCATAATTGTGTTACAGATGGGCTGCCATACCAGCCTGTCCTCCTAAGGTTTCCCAACGTCAAGAAAACGGTCAATTTAAAGTGTCTTGTCGTAACCTACAGCTCCCAGTAGCTGAAATGAAACAAATGCCAGTGTATTGAATGTGGGCGCTGTGATGTTGCTTTCCGTTCGTAGAGTGTATGTGATCAAGGGCACTGAATTTAGCAGCGAGCTGAGTATAAGCGTTGTGTATGACGAGTTTCTTGGTGGGATATTTGGGCAGCGTCTTATCAAAAGGTATCTGCCAGAGTGGTTGGAAGTGCTGCATTTTTTTAGTTGTACATCTCGAACAACCCAAACGCTGTATTTCATTATAGGTGGATGCTCTTCGATTTCATCCTGAATCACTAGTTGCACTGTGTATGTGTTCTACTACACAGAAGCTTTATTTCCGTCATAAAATTAATTTTAAAAAATCTTATCTTAAATGCTGGGTATACTTGTTTCTTTACAGATATTGAGAACTTCAGTAGTAACTGAACAGCCTGTTCTTGATAATATGGCGAATTCCTATCTCCAGCACAAACATCTTCTAAAACACACACTTGTGCAAATCCCAACACAATTACAGTATATTAAAATTATGATAAACAAATAATCCAACCCACACATGAAATAAATGAGACGACAATTCGGTCTGCAGTGGACCCTCATCAGTTCGCGAAAAACCTGAGTGAGAACCAATATAAGGTGAGAGGTGAGAGGGAAGGTGAGGGGGGAGAGGTAAGAGGGAAGGTGAGGGGAGAGGTGAGAGGGAAGGTGAGGGGAGAGGTGAGGGGCAAAGTGAGGTAGTAAAGCATGAACACCAAGATTGGGTTATCTGTATTAGCTGCATTACTGTGACTTATTTTCTGTGTATGTCAGTTACTATATTATACAACTGGCACCAATATAGATATAAAACTACTAAGCAAGAGAGACACTGCATTACCTGACTGTACGGGAAATGTACTAGGTATTTTATTAAATTATTTACATTTTCCATAGAAGAGCAAACATTATGCACAGTATGGAAGCACTAAATTACATACAGTATCAAACTGAATGCAGTAGGATTTTTTAAATATTAATACACTTTATAAAATGTATAATTAAAATCATACAGCATTCTACATTAGATATAAAACATTTAAAAAAATTCTTACTCATTACAGGTATTTCGATATAACTTCAAAGAGCATTCTTTTTTAATTTTGCACATCTAGACAATACCTTTAAAATATTGTATTTTGGTTGTATTTTTGCTGTTCCAAGCATGTCTTCGTTACTCTTACCACATCATTCATTTCCTTCTGCGCTGCTCATTCTAGTTGCATGTGACACAAATAAGACTTATGCCCTGGGGAAAAGCTTAACTGTGTTGCCATTTTCTGGTCTAAGAATGAGTTCTCCAAGAATGAGGAGGTCCTCTCGCCTCGTGACACTCTCAACACGCAACTTGCGAAGAATGCTGCTCAACAGGATCTTCTCCTCCATAAGTGCAAACTTCTGGCCTGCAAGAACATGTATAAAAATGTTCATAATTTGTAGAAAAGAAACTAATATTAAATAAGGGGAAGGAAGGTAATTATAAATTATGGAAACAGGTTATTTTCTTTGATTCAAAAGCAAGTTTCATAATTATAGTAAATTTGTAAATTACAATATATTCTAAACTACCAAATCTATACACAACTTGCAAATTAAAAAGTTATGCACATAACTTTTCTTAATACTTTGGTCCTTCAGAAATAATTATTAAAATTCAGGCACCAAGCATGGATTTTGGCCCCACTGAAAATACCTGAAATTCTAGATATGATATGCAGGGTTGTACATAAAATTATATGATAATTTGGCTATCAGTTATATTTCAACTTTTACTTTTATGTGAAATGATAAATTTACCAGTACACTCCAAGGTAATGAACCAATCTTTACATACTGCAAGACGAAACACATTAGTTGTGATCAGTTTATGGATATACACACATACAAAAAATCTTCAGCATTAGTGGAAGCATTTGACAATGCTTCCACACAATGCTGATGGTGTGTGGAGACTCCATTCAACTTTACTTTCTACACAAGGGTGCTAATATGGTTGGGAAAAGCTGACGATCTACTCACCAATACAGTTCCTGGGTCCAGCACTGAAAGGAATATAGGCATAGGGGTGACGCTTGGCAACATTCTCGGGTAGAAAACGATCTGGGTCAAATACTTCTGGTTTGGGGAACTGCTCCTGGTCGCGGTGAAGGCGGTAAGTCACAATCATGACTGTGGTGCCGGCTGGGATGCGGTAACCGTCTGTAAGCCCACAGTAATTAATACCTGGTGTTTCCAAGGCAAACCTACCTTTTATTTTAAATGTAAAATAGAAAATAAATGTCACTTTATTTCAATAATTAAAACAAAGCCTGCATTTTATTTGTAACACTTAAAATCTGTAAAATAATATTTATGATTTTTTTCACATTTTTTGCATCTCACTTGAGAAATAAATACACTATAAATGTACAGTATTTCAGTTTCCAACATCAATATTTAAGTTGTACCAATGACAGCCTCCTCCTTCAGCTCCCTGGCTAGGAGAGGCACGGAAGGGAAGAGTCTCAGAGCCTCTTTGATGCAGTTTTCTGTAAATTTCATCTCACGGAGGTCAGCCATGGTCACTGGACGGTCTGAATCACCGAAAATTGAATCCAGCTCTTCATGTACCCGTGCCTGCAGAAGGTAACTCATCAGCTTAAACAAATTATATTTTCTATCATCACACATCAAAAAGTGTGAAAAAAATAATCATTCTGAGATAAAGTAGTCTGTTATGCATATATATATTGTAACTGTAATCATCTACTTTGTATCTTAATGATCAAAAGAGAGCTTAGCAGAAATATTTTCAGCACCGATAACATGAGTACTATGGTGTCCCTGCGGCACCATTATAAGTTTCTCGAGTCACAAGAGATATTAGATCAACCACCTTCCTCCCACTATGTTGTAACAAAATTAAAAATAGAGAGACCGACTACAAAAATGGTCAAAGCACCGAAGACCAAACCTTGTGAAATTAAAAGCGAGGTTACCATGAAATTCTATATTATGCGTAACAGATGGAAACCAAATTAACTTTTCACCTGAAGAGGCACCAAAACTAAAGGGGCCGAAAGAGAATGGAGAGCGGAACTCCACAGAAGTTGACCAAATAGTGATCACAGTTTAGGGTCACTTTGGGAGAGAAGGCCACTGATGTTGTCCGGGACAGTGTTAGCTAGAGACAAAGCCTCTACCGAGGGCCAACACAACAAAGAGCAGCATGAGCTCCAAAAGAGGAGTATGCAACTGAATCTGAGCACCGAAAAAACCTGAAGAGGGAAAAGAAACGATAATCCACTACAGGTAAAATAGGGCTCATAAAACACAGCCAGGATAGTTGTGAAATTATACCCCACTGGGGAGAGCCAGAAAGTGCTTTCCGCCACCCACAGCCCAGTAGGACCATCAAGCAGATAAGACCAGGCAGCTCAAGAGGTGTATGAGGTCTCAAGAGAAAGGGGAGACCACCCTAATACCGGCTAAAGCTCGGAGGTGCAGCAACAGCAGACAACCGAGGGGGGGGGGGGGGGGATAAGAGAAAAGTAGGACTTGGCAACACAGACTGGCCAGACCCCAATAGGGAATTATCTCTTGACAAGGATAATACAACTTAGTACTGTAGATGCCTGTAGTACTTAGGATGTCTTAGTCTCTTGTCTCTGATGATATTCAGGCACGACAATGGTTCTTGGAAGCAATAAAGATTATACAACTTCACACTAAAAGTCTTCAACACATCTTATGGAAAACTGCAAAAAGAGTTCGGGCTTCACCAAGCCTAATTTTCTATAGTGTGTGGCAGTTTTTTATAATTATTGCTATTTTCTAAAACAGACGTGGTCACACATTTACAATTTTAACCAGCATATGTACGTTTTCTTCTGTCCTCCATGGAACGGGTTAAAGATCTGTTGAACATATAGTTCGGTGGTTTATTGAACAATCAACCATAGAAAGTGATTGTAGTGCTTTTTAAAATGCTAATCTAATCTACAAATATAAATACACAGATTTACGTCTGTCCCACATAAACAGTGTTCGAGGTGTCTTTTTACATAGTGAGTGGACGTGTCCTTGAAATTGTTTACTCCATTGTTGTAGGATGCAGTTTATTTTTTTCAATTAAACTAGACTAGAAACTTGTGTTCATTCAATTACAGGATGTTCTGCTCACTGTGTCTCCAAGTTAATCCCTTCTGTGTTGTCATATTTCCTCAGAAATAAGATTTTTAATGAAATATCAGTTATGAATTATTCCTGGCTCCCTGGGGTATACCCCTTATTCCTGGGGTATGTGGTATACATACCACGTTTCACGGTATGTTAAGGATATTATTGGGATGAAGTGCAGAGGAGGCTAAAGTCATGGGTTGCACGAGGTCTTGAGGCAAGTGTCAGGGAGACGAAGTGCTGAGTTTTACATTTCTGAGGGAAAGAGGTTTAACACACGACAGCCTCATCAGAATAAGCACAAGCACCTTAAAATGAACCTTCAGGGACATCATTGTCTATGTGGTGTATGTGTTCCTGCTTAACTCTCCATCGATTTGTAGGAGCGGCAGTCATACCTCTGAGCGGGGCAGAACAACTTCTTCAGAAAAAAAAGCATTTCACAAGCTCAAAGCCTATTTGTTCTGTTTTTGAGAAATTGCAGATTTTTCATTAAAAATATCAAGGAATACTGTTAAATCTTCAAAAATGTGATATTGATGGTGTCTAATAGCTAACAAGAATCTGCGTTAATCTCACATTTTGAAATCACATGATCTGCATTAAATATTGGTGAAATATTTTTAATTAGTTGTGATAAGTTAATGATAGCTCATAAAAAATCATAAACTGCATTTATTTGTTTTGTAAGTAAAAGGCCTTCAAACTTGACAGATTAAATGTTGTTACAGAGATAGTTACGTTACGTCACATGTAATTAACACAACAACTGTCTAACATGATGAACCAAAACAGAGTGTTGTGCCGTAGCTACAAAACAATACAGTGACATACATCATAATGCACTCTTCAAAGCCCCTACCTGGATTTCCGGATAGCAACCAATCAAGTAGAGTGACCAGTTGATAGCAGCGGCCGTAGTGTCATGACCTTCAAACATGAACGTGTCAACTTCCTCCCGGATGTCCTCATCGGAGAGTGCAGTCTCCTTCTCGGAGTACTCCAGCAACAGGTCCAGGAAGGCTAAGCGCTTCTTCTTGCCTAAGAATGAAAAACACCAATCAAAAGCTTATGTGAATTTAAGATACCATATTATTAACCAACCGATGAATTAATTTTCACATCTCATTCAGGAACTATTGAAGTGAACGAGTTGGCCCATTGTTTGCAATTCACAAACTCCTTTCTATACGAACAATGGCTACAAGGAGAATTTACACCATATAACTGCATCATATTATTTATTGAAGTTAAATATAACAAAGGGACTCTCATAAGTACGGAAATAAATTATCCTTAGAATATCTATTATTCTTATACAGTACTAAAAATTACATTTGATTTTATTAATGCTAAGCGTTGAATCAAATATTTTATGAAATTCTGTTAAGTTCAGTATGTTATATAACGAAGAGATGCAATTATTTGAAACTTCTAAAATATACTTAAGGAATAAAAATGAAAGACATCAATTTAATTCTCAAGTAAACTGTTCCAAAAGGAACAAGCTAACTCAATCAGATTTGCAACCTTAAAAAGACACCTGGTTAGAATATCTTTTGATAATACATATTTAATCTTGTGGTGTGAAGTGATGGTGTCATCTATGGTGATGGCTGAGGTAGAGTGGGAAGAAATAGACAAACCCTTCAATAAGAATAGCATCGAACTCTTGGGATCATCTCACAGAAACAATGAAATCATGGAAGGAATAGTGGGCTCCACAGCCTCCACCAAATCATCAAAGAGTGCATGAAATGAAACCATGAAACTCTTTACTAGCCACCAGTTTTAACATATTCTTAGTTTGATATTATATTATATATATTATTAATAATAATTATTATAATAATAATTGTTGTAATTACTAATTATTACTCTTCCTTCTGCTGGGTCATGAAGGAAGCCGGCCTCGGGTGATAGGGGACTCCGACAATCTATGTCTGGAACCCGTAGGTGCGTGGCTCGAACGTCCACCTCCTGGGGCTCGTGCAGACCAGGCTCTGCTTCGGGAGGCTAGGGTCGTTCTTGCCCTTGCTGGGGTCGTTCTTCTCCGGCCCCGACCACGGCGGTCTCCGGGTTTGGAGTCCCTGTGCCTTCTTTTACCAACTTCGAGGTTAACTCCGGAACTGGAGCCACTAGGGCAGTTCGTTGTTGCCTTCAACATCGTTCTGACAGTTCCTGCGACGGTGCTGGAATCAATCGTATTGGCGTTTGCCTTTCCATTGGAGATTTTCGGCGCCGTGGAGAGCTCGAGGGCTTCTCCATATCAACCTACCCTGGCTTTGCACCCTGGAGAGGCTAATCCAGACCGACAACCAGAGCGCAACTCCATAGTCTCCTATGACTGATGGATGCCTACTACTAATTTTAGAAAGAATCTCTGATCCCCAGGCTCTTCACACCTCATAGTCTTTGGTGGAGCAGTGGTAATTTGAACTCTGGAGGCGGTTCTACACCACCTACTACAGTCTCAGAGTAAAAGCTGTCATTGCAGCACTTGTTTGTTGTCAGTGCGGTCCTTTCTGAGTGAGGTCACTTGTATTAGTGCCATCCCCAGTAGGCATCATCTCACAATGCTCATCTTTATACTATGGGTCCATAAAACAGAAATGGGAAACTTGGAAACATGGTAGGAATGAAAGCAGAGAACTTGATGTGACGATGACCAGATTAAGTCTGGGACACACCAAACTGGCAGCACACACATTTAAATACAAAACAGACATTAACGAACTTTGCGTCCACTGTCATGTGGCAGAAACAATCGAACACTATCTCCTTCACTGTTTCCGACATCATAGTGCCATAGTAAACTTTAGACAAGTCCTTATCACACTCAAAATACATTTTACTATCGAGCGTATATTAGGAGGAGGTGACCACTCGTTACATGAAAAATATCAAATAGTCAAAGCCCTGGCTAAATATCCCCAGTCGACCAACAAATTGGGCTACATTTGACCTGTGCCACATTTATACCTGGCGCCACCAACAGCCAAAGGCAGAACACAACTGCCTGGCCGCAGCACCAAGGATCAGCTGACGCCATAAACACAACATCCCGCCCCCACAGTGCGGCAAGTCTCCCTCTGACACACGCCTCTGTTTAGTCGCCGCTCCTGTATCGACAGCACAAGACAAAACTTTTGAAGCCTTTTTAAACTCAATATTTGTACTCGTGCAGTCATCGGGAGGATAAACCCTTCATGCAAACTGCACCTCCCATCAAGAAGACCCGGGCTAGTAGGTAGATTAGGGCTATAGCTCAAGAGACCTATCTCAGCAAAATGCAGTACTGACATACATCCTTTGTCATAATATGCCTCTTACTAGATCTACTCCGTGAGTATTACATCTATTAGTGCAAATGAAAACCATTTAGCAGTAAAGTATTGATCTTCAAAGCTTCTTCATATGTACAGTAACTACAACATGACCAGCTGTCTACCTACCAATAGCATCGTCGTCATCAGGTGTTGCACTCTTCTTCATCTTTACCTCTTGGTATTCTTTACGTCTGCTTCTCACAGTTTCATTTGAAAAATCATGAAGTATTTTGAGGCAGGCATCATGTTCTTTCGCATATCCAAGAAGCTTGAAAAGAATATTAGGCTGCAGCCACGGCCGCGCTTGTCGTTGTTGTATTAACGCACCAATTCTAAAAGTAAACAAAACTTCAATTTTACTGATTCCTGTAAGTTTTGTGAGAAATGTGTCACAAGAGGCAGATATCATTTCTAAACAAACAACAAAGTTTGCAACAAAATTATGCCCAAAGAATTGTATTACTTATTTTTAAATAATTTGACCCATAAATCATATTTGAATCAAGGTTACAAAAAGTAAATGCGGTACAATGGAGCCTATGACTCCAGGTGACTATAATCCAGAAACCAAAAATATTCAGAACAAATTGTCTTCCTTACTGTTGGAATGCTGAACTAACCAATCATATTTTCTGGGAAGTCCCCTGAGTTTCTAAGTCTACAGATCATTTGAGGCCGCAGAAACTTGCCTCCCTTCCCTCCAGGGTCGATTTACTGACCCCGCCCAGGATGCAACCCCACATCAAGCTTACTGACTCCTGAATACTTATTTTCTGCTGGGTGAACAGAGACATTAGGTGATAGGAAATGCACCCATCCATTTCTGTCTCGCCCGGGATTCCAACCCGGAACCCACTGTACTACCGGAAACCTGTATTCTTGAGACCATTCAACATGAATTTGGCTAAATGTTGTTTTCCTTGTAGATCTACCTCGCGCTAGATCTAGCCAGTAACTATATCTACCCCCATGCCAGTTATAACAACTCCTCAGAATGTTACTTGCCTGTATACAGCCTTAACATAGTCTGATTCACTGTTATCTTGAGCATTAATGTTGCACCCCATTGCTGTCTCTGTAATATAGATACAATTTAAATTTCAAAAATACATTATGGAGCCGCTTCAAGCTGTGAATAGCACAACATTGTTATAAAGAATAAGTCACAATAATATGACTACGCGACGTAAACGCCTTAACCGGCACTTGAGATGTGAAAATATGACTATATTTTTTACTATTTTAGACCATGATGGTCTAAAATAGACATTTTAGACCATCATGGATCAGTTGGGGAGAGTAGTGATAATTCATTCAGTATGATGGTCCTGACGGTTGGATGAATCTGACGGTTGGATGGTTCTGAGAGTTGGATGGTTCTGACAGATACTGGTACATAGTATTTTATTTTTACTAATAAACGCTGCTTGTCTCAAGCCTTAAACGGTTCTCAAAAACAAGTTAGAGATACATTAATATACCGTATTTAAGAGACTGTTAGTAATGTTCAAGTGAATCTGTCTTGGTTCAATTTTCCATCCTTAATATCCCTTATCATCTCACCTTCATAATAGACCAGGACGGGCCAAAATGTTGTAAGGTTTTCATGTTTCTAATGTGAGTTTGTCATTTTTTTAAATATACACAATAATAATAATTTAGTGAATAAACTAGAGTAATTAAAAATTATTTGTAAATGTGAGTCTGTGTATTTTCTTCTTTGTAAGTGTGATTTTTATCATAAAACCCAATTTGTTGCCAAAGGAAAAGGATAACTAGATATATAGGAACCAGAAAAATTCGATTTGGAACCAAATCCAATTCGGCTAGAAAAATAGTTCAGCTACAATGGTTAATGGTTTGGAATTAAGTTTAACAAATAAGAAGTATTCTATTGTGTTGGGAAACTATGGAAGGGAATAAAATACGGGAAGTCATCGGTGACCAACAGCCAGGCATGAAAGCTCCAGCTCTGTGTTCTACAGTCAAACATCAGAACTGTAGCATTAAAATACAAACTGTTAGTCTCTGAGTCCATCACTGTTACCTCAATAATAGTCGTTACATTTATTTTGCAATATAATGTACACGTAAAATGGTGAAAAAAACACATTTTGGAAATGAGTGAACAAGGGAAATGGGAAGTGCATGACAGGCACCTTAGTTAGACGGAAATAGTTAGCAAATAAGGTTCAAATCCGTTTCACACAATACAGTAATAGATCTGCTAATCACAAAGATGACTTAGTTTGTTCAAGCTCAACAACAAAAAATGAACTGACCACAGATAACATCGAGGGTACACAGTGTGATGAAGGGAAAGATGTCAAAGGGCTTCCCATCCGACTTCTTCTGTAACTTTTGCACCATTATATTGCCTTGATTGTTGAACACCTCCACAAAGTCCTCCAGGATCTTGAAGTGGAAGGCTGGAGTCAGTAGCTTCCTGCGAGAGTGCCACTTGCTTCCTGTAATAAAGGCATTATTTATATAAGGCAAGTTAGCAAATATAATATAAGTGGGTTTTTACAGTAACTGACAAACTTTGTTTAAAGTTTCAGAAATTTAGTCTTCCTTGTCCAACCTTTAGCCTTAACCTTCTGAACCTTTGACAAGACGCCAAATTTCTGTCCTGGTTGAAACTAATAGACGGTGGCCTTTGCTAAATTTAGGTACAAATTATTCCAGGACAATGACCAATAGACTACATGCATGTGCTATTTATACTAATAATAATAATAATAAAAATTTATATGCAAGAATGTACAATGGGTTGGTGAGATTACATAAGATTACTTTATAGCTTGATGAGATTACATAAGATTACCTTATAGCTTGATGAGATTACATAAGATTACCTTATAGCTTGATGAGATTACATAAGATTACTTTATAGCTTGGTTAGATTACATAAGATTACTTTTTAGCTTGATGAGATTACATATGATTACTTTATAGCTTGATGAGATTACATAAAATTACTTTATAGCTTGATGAGATGACATAGTTTGCACAGAATGCACACTAATAAATTTAACACTCTTAGAAAGAAAAACTCTGCATGAGTCACTTTACCTTGAAATACTGTACAGGGTGCAAGATATTTCCCAACAGGTACGGTACATGAACAAGAGAGAAACTGACCTGTGGAGGTAAGAAGACCGGTACCAAGCCATGGGTGAAGAAAGGTGTAGTCACGGCTTTTGTCCAAGTGCTTAGAACTACTGAGGATCACCTGTGTAATACAAATAGTTACATAGCCATTTTGATGTGTCAATAGCTCAGGCTTTTATTATGAGAGCAATACAGTACTAGTGCTTGATCCTTATATTTTTAAACTGTGAAAATATTAAATCTTTAAAATGCTTAAGTAACACAGTATAAATTAAAAGTATCTTGTTATAGTAAAGATTACCAGCATTCAATATATTTCATTTGCTTATATGTTCCATTTTTAATTTCATAATTATTCAACAAATAAAAGGAATACATTTGTCTGATCTTTATGAGACTGAACTGAGAACACCTGTTATTAATAAGCTAATCAATCTCTCTAGATATTACATTTTTATAAATTCAAGAGCTATATATTAGACCTATCTTTTAGCAAAGTCTTCAGTAATACTTTAAAACAAAATCTCAGCAACATAAATTTAATACCAAGTACAGGAATTACAGAAGTGAAAGAGGTGACTGATCTGTCGACACGACAAGTTAACCAGCAAAAAAAATTAAATGCTTTGTTTTAGTGACTACAACAAATACTGCACAAGTTGTATTACAAAAATATCACATTCTACATCTGAGACTCAAGTCTTGAGAGTTAACACAAATATTTAAACTAGCAACTGACACTAAACTTGAAATTTGTTTACAAAATATAAAATGGAGAGACAGTGAGAGGCAAGATATAATGTATATTCAAAAAGCTTGAACTCTTAATATCCCTTAACAAAAGTGTAATCATATTTAAGCATGGATTTTCACACGATGTGTATATTGCTAATGTAGTATATTAATGTAACTATATCCAATAACTAGGCCAAATAATAATAATATTAATAATAATAATAACAATAATGAGGATGATCCTTTGCATATGTTACTGATGAAGTGCATGTAATATTGCTGTATGAACCCTGTCAAGAAGAATGCTCACATCAGTTTAGCAAGGTTGTGGCATAGTTGAATACTCTACTGGAATTTATAATTAAAAATCTTTTACGGAAAACAACCACCTGGTGGATAGGCGATTCTATGAGTTTATTACGCTACGGTAAAAAAAAAAAACAGCTGTTTGTCCTACATTGTGGCTTGTTTAGCTTGAAGTTGTTGTCCCCTTGTGTGTGTTACATGTGACTTTTCGGGAAAGTTGTCTGCAAAATAATTTCCAATTTGTTAAGTATTATATGAGTCTTAATGAGATCACCCTTGTCATGTCTGGTTTGTTGTGTAGTGAGCATGAAGCTACTCGAGACATCTAGATAACCATCCATGTAGAAAATATAACAATAAATATAAATACAAATTAGGATATAAATCGAGCGAACAAAAACACATCAAGATAATTCACTATACTTCACGCATTCGAAATACTTTCTACACTTTTTGGCGCAGTAAATAATTATTGAAAGAAGGCGCTAAGCTGGGAAGCCTATGTAAACCGATTCCTGAGGCCTAAGGTCACAGATTTAGAGTTTATTCTCCAGTTAACTATTGTTATTGTTTATTGCACTTTTGTGTATCAACTGTATCCACTGGTAGCTGTACAATATATACTGTAATTGGATTTATGAACTGTAATTTAAATCATGTTTTAGTAGTGGCATTAACTAAGCCAGCAAAGCTGTCCTGAAGGACACCCACTGAGAACCCACCGTGTGGCTCTACAATAAATTATAACGCCGTGAAGATTCTCTCATGCATTAGACACAAGGATCATACAGCTATTTCGTTCATATTGATAACCTGCGTGAATAACAAACTATCGATAGTTGCAGCTCAAACATTAATATACTACTTAAGTAGTAACCCATTTACCACCTACTACATGTCCATTTTATTATTACTGTGATATTTACATAAACGGGCTTCTATGTCGTGTTATGTAAAGAAAATATAATAAGCAACATGACTTCAAGAAGCGTATAAATCAGCAAATGCAGCGAACGGAAAAAATACCAGAAGCAAATATGATAACACGGAAAAAGCAGAAATCAAAACATGTCATACACACTGCCACTGTGGGAACACTACACTCTGGTCATACACACTGCCACTGTGGGAACACTACACTCTGGTCATACACACTGCCACTGTGGGAACACTACACTCTGGTCATACACACTGCCACTGTGGAAGAAGTGTGCTTAAAGTGAGAGTGACGGCAAGATGATAGGCAGGAATGGCGAGTGGGCATCAACACCCCACAATAAGGAGAATGGGCATCAACACCCCACAATAAGGGGAGTGGGCGAGCAAGTTGGGAATGGGTATCAACACCCCACAATAAGGGGAATAGGCATAAATACCCCACAATAAGGGGAATAGGCATAAACACCCCACAATAAGGGGAATGGGCATCAACACCCCACAATAAGGAGAATGAGCATCAACACCCCACAATAAGGGGGAGTGGGCGAGCAAGTTGGGAATAGCAGTCTCCGTGGTGTAGTGGTAAGACACTCGCCTGGCGTTCCGCGAGCGCTATGTCATGGGTTCGTATCCTGGCCGGGGAGGATTTACTGGGCGCAATTCCTTAACTGTAGCCTCTGTTTAACGCAACAGTAAAATGTGTACTTGGATGAAAAAACGATTCTTCGCGGCAGGGGATCGTATTCCAGGGACCATAGGATTAAGGACTTGCCCGAAACGCTACGCGTACTAGTGGCTGTACAAGAATGTAACAACTCTTGTATATATCTCAAAAAAAAAAAAAATGGGTATCAACACCCCACAATATACAACCCATCCTCCTGTTTAGATAGTACCTATTGTGACGGTCGTCGATAGTCACGAGTTAGTACGTACTTAGCTTTTAGATAGTAATATTGTGAGAGTATGTATGTCCCTCAAAATTCTCCCACAGCTGACTTGAATGGCTTAGTGCACTGCACAGTGCACTAAGCCTATCTCTTTTTATCTCTGGATGGAAAACTGTCATGTTGGGTGTCCCCAGAATGCCCACATAACTAGGAATAGTTGTATGATACGGAGGCCACCGTATGTCCAAGCAGAAGGTGGATAAAGGGGAGTTAAGCAACTGCACCATAGCAAATAAGAGTCCGGGAGTACACAGTTGTAACTTGCCAGGTGTGGGAAGAGGGACGCCAGCTAGGCTAGAGATTAGTCTCTACAGATCAGTTACATCAGTCTCCGTGGTGTAGTGGTAAGACACTCGCCTGGCGTTCCGCGAGCGCTTTGTCATGGATTCGTATCCTGGCCAGGGAGAATTTACTGGGTGCAAATCCTTAACTGTAGCCTCTTAACTCAATAGTGAAATGGGTACGTGGTTGTAAAAATGGTTCTTCGTGGGGGCTCGTATTCCAAGGATTAGAGATTTTGCCAGACTTGCCCGAAACGCTACGCGTACTAGCGGCTGTACACGAGTGTAACAACTCTTTTATATATCTAAAAAAAAACAAAAACAAAAAAAAAAATAAGCTCTGACTTCTGGGGTCAGCCTCAACCTTTGCGATAAAGAACAGTGACGTAGTCGTGACGTGATCATGACGTCACTCTTCTACCCATCGTGTAAGGATCAGATATCCAACCCGTTTTCGCACTTTCGTATAGTCAATATTGACTTATTAACTACGTGCATAGGTGATATACTAAACATAATAGATACCCTTAAAAAGATTCATAGAAAACACTGACCTTACCTAACCTTGTTAGTATCTTAAGATAAGCATCTTATTGCTTCGTAATTACAATTATTACTTAACCTATACCTATTATAGGTTAGGTAATAATTGTAATTACGAAGCAATAAGATGCTTATCTTAACATAGTAAGTAGGTTAGGTAAGGTCGGTGTTTTCTATGAATCTTTTTAAGGGTATCTATTATGTTAAGTATGTCACCTATGCACATATTTAATAAGTCAATATTGACTTATTAAATTTGCGAGAACGGGTTGCAATATCATTGGTTCCGGCACCTGCTTTGCAATGACATTGGTCAGTTCGTAGACGTGGTGTTTGTGCCCCGAGGAAGCGTGCAACCCCTTGCCAAGTTATGCTTGTGGGGGACGTTGTACGTGAGAGACTTGCGATTCTAACCTATCTTTCCTTTCTCTCCTTCCTCCCCATTCTCTCCCGCTCTATCCTTCTCTCTCCCCCAGCATCCTCCTTTTCCCCACTCTACTTCACTCTCACCCCCCCCCCCCCTCTAATTTCCCCCATCCATTCTTAAACTTGAATGAATTTACGTTCATTGTTTTCGAATAAGCCATGAAAATGCACTTGTAAAAGGGGAAAGCAAGCATCAAAACTCTTCGGAAAACACGTCCGGGTTTAATTTCAGACCGTGAAAATTGTAAAGGGGGGACCGCTATAGATGCCATATATGCTTTATAGGTTAGCATTTGGTCCTATCCCGACTAGCCCATGATACTCCCATGCGGCGTATGTTTTAAGTCGTTTGTTAAGCGTATTTCATCCATAAACCAGAAGGTTTGGCGGCCGCTTAGGCTCATGATGAGGACAGCTGACTTTTTTTTTTTTTTTGCAGGGATATTTCTGCACGAATCATGATGATAGGGCAGCAGTAATGTGTTGGTTTTGTACATCTTAAGTGTCTGTACTATTTCAAGCCGTTATGAACATTAGTTTGACGTACTGCATATATTTACTGCCACGGATTGTCCTGTGTATTTGCCTTCAATATATACACAGTATGTGTGCAATTTCTAATTTTTGTGATCATTTATTTATATATTGATAGATGAGCCCCAGTCCCTGTGTGCGCACACACACATTAAAACTTTCACATGAATCCTTTCGCTAACACATACAAAGGTATGAAGCCACGACATCTTTCCCCTCCGCCCGCCTCAACGACACGGTCAGTCTTGTGTGGTAGGCTGTCGTACCTCAACATTAGGGGCGCGGTAGAAGAAGAGCATAGGTCGCGTCCCCACCCAGGCACGGATGAATGGCTGCTCCCAGCCCCAAGCGTGTACCAGCCCACACACCCGCACAAACAACTCTAGAATTAAAAAAATGCTGCCTTTCGTATTGCCCTTTGTAGAGCTGAAAGAGACACAAAAGAAATGGACTATCAAGATTCCTGAGATAGTGTTTGTGAGAATAAGAATACAAGAAACGCTAATTAAGAGAAGATAGACAAGTGGAGAGAAACTGAAGATTGTTATAAACGGAAGATAAGTTATGAGGAATTGAATCTCAGCTTTTGGCTGATTTTTTTATGACTTCTTGATCTTGAAACACTCATCCTGCATATTTTACGAAGATTACTGGCCAGAAACTGATCACCCTCAGAGATGGACTTCTTGAAAAACGATTTTTTGTCTGAATTTTGTTTAGAACTTTAGAATTAAATGTGTGTCAAGAGGTATGAATGTGCTTCACGTTGCTCCAGCAGTCAACAACAAGGAAGTGTTTCCTAGGGTGAGAGGTCCATTAGCAACATAGCAGTAAACACACTGGTGAGAGTACAACCAGTAATTATGCCAGACGAAACACCAATTGCTCTGTCTTCTTACGTATTAAATAATGTTTATTAGTACTGTCATAATACTATATTGAAAGTTTCATTCAAAATCACTCGTGATAAATGACCGTAAAAGATAATATATTAAAACCAGTTTTCATATTTTCTATAAACAAAAATATAAACTTAGAAGGTCGGTACAAAAAAGTTCAATACAGTTACTGTCGTTAATGCGTTATAAAGAAAACGTTGCATTATCTTTATGACCTAAATACAGACCCTTTACATTGGCCATACATGTTTCGACGCAGCTGTAATGCATACTACAGATTATATTGATTGGTGACGATTAAGCCACCCAAGAGGTGGCACGGGCATGAATAGCCCGTAACAGATTATATGTCTATGTAACTTATAGCCCGGCCGTTCCAGGTGAACCGTCAGAAAATACTTTAGCTCACACAGAAGGATGATTAATATAGAATTTGCTTGACACAGTTTTACTTGACTCACTGCCAACGTAGGCATTTATAGTTACATGTGAGCGAGATCTCCGACGAGGAAATAACTTGTCAGCAGCAGAACAATGGATAGGTGATGGAAGAAGTAGGGGGACGAAGGGAATATCAGATCAAATTAAGAGAGCAGTAGAGTTATGGGCCCCAGGAAGAACCGGGGGGGGGGAGAAAGAAAGAAATAACCATGAAAGTGACCAGGACGAGCACCAAGCGTTGGTTCCTGGAGACTAACACAAAGCAGTGAAAACTGTAATTAGAAGTTGGAGTTCATGGAAGTTAGCATAAAATCCACGAATATTCCACTGAAGAATAGACATTACCAAAGAGAAAGGACAGTAACAGAGAACAAAAAAGAAATAAAGGTATAGAAGAACACAGTTTAATAAAGAATCTCAGGATCAGGATCAGGGTCAGGATCAGGAGCAGGGTCAGCAAAATCAGGGTTAGGGGGCATGGGTAAACTTAGTAAGGATAAAGGGAAGGGAGCAAGAGGGCAGACCAGAGGCGGACTGACGGGGTCTGGAGGGGGAAGAGACAACTGAGAGGGGCAGGCAAGGACAGCTGGAGGAGGGGAAGGGGGGCAGAAGACAGGGAGTGCGCCTCAGCAAGGGCAGCAACCGAGAGGGAATCGGGGGCGAAAGAAACCTCCATATCTGGGACAGGGGGGCCCGACCACTGAAATGGGAGGGGATGTAGTGACTGACCCACGGAGCATCACACTCCGGCAGCAGCCCACCAAGCCCCCTCACGGCGACAACAAGCCAGACAGTGAAGGGGCCATGCAAATAAAGGGACCTGGTCTAAGGAACTCACTCCCCAACGAATTCAAAAGCTGTCCAACTTTTGTCTTATTCAAAAATAAAACCAAAAAGTACCTTATTTCATCTTCATAGTTTCCTACCTAGTGCTTTAAACTCGCACTGTATCTAGTGCTACCCAATCCCCCAATATATGTACCTAAGCCATACAATTTCACCATTGTAATCATTGCTATTATCTAATATCAGTATGGGTTCGAGTCACTTCTAGGGTGTGAGTTTCAGCTGCATATAGTCCTGGGGACCATGCAGGCTTGTTCGCATATTATATATATATATATATATATATATATATATATATATATATATATATATATATATATATATATATATATATATATATATATATATTACAGTAAACTTTTTTTTTGCAAGTGAGTGGGTGAATGAGTTTGTTGTTGTTTGTTGTTTTAGATTTAGCTACTCTGAACGAAATGTCCATGTAGCAGAGGCCGTAATGAGTGAATGAGTGAGTGAGTGAGTGAGTGAGTGAGTGAGTGAGTGAGTGAATGAGTGAGTGAGTGAGTGAGTGAGTGAGTGAGTGAGTGAGTGAGTGAGTGAGCGAGCACAAACTACCTCTGCAGCGCTACACTGGACCAGCTGGACTAAGGGCGTAGTTCCGGCCCAGACTCTGAAGAGCGGACCCCGCAGACTCCACATGTAACTTCCACATTGTATCAATTGGAATAATTCTGAAAGAACCAAAGATGTACAAAACAAAGCATGAAAACATATCCACTATCACCAACTCGCCCTGTACAAGACGCTGTGCAACACTGCTGTACACTGTGCAACACTGCTGTGCACTGCGCAACACTGTTGTACACTGTGCAACACTGCTGTACACTGTGCAATACTGCTGTACACTGCGCAACACTGCTGCACACTGCGCAACACTGCTGTACACTGCGCAACACTGTTGTACACTGTGCAACACTGCTGTACACTGTGCAACACTGCTGTACACTGCGCAACACTGCTGCACACTGCGCAACACTGCTGCACACTGCGCAACACTGCTGCACACTGCGCAACACTGCTGCACACTGCGCAACACTGCTGCACACTGCGCAACACTGCTGCACACTCTGCAACACTGATGTACAAGAATATATTTAGTTTCAATTAGATAGTAACATTCGCTGTACCTTATCATGGCATTTATGAATCTCGAAACTATCCAAAAATTTCAATATATAATAATCCACAAATGTCTTATAACAAAAGTTATATAACTACTTTCAAATTTCTATGTTTACGAGGGAAATCCCTAACCTTGGTTGCAATATATGGATAAGGTGAAGGCAGTGTTATAAAGATGCTTGCCCCCTTCAGAAAAGAACTTTTTTGACTCCCCGTTTCAAAAGATAGAGTTCCCAGTCTTCCCCCGGGAGACGTAAGATAGAAAACTTTGAGAGGGGAGACTTAGTGTAACTCTGTTTACACTATAAAATAAACGGACAGTCGAATGTTAATACATGTTATTTCAACACCTCCAGAAATTAAAGGGCATATGGCGACTGTGGAGGTTTGTGTACAAAATAGGTAAGGTTGCGCCCAAACACAAGCCGCGTTGTGTACTTTTGGTATAATAAAGTACTTTTAAAAACTGTAGCAACATCAACACCCTACATTTCCCTGACCTAATATAAGCAATCTTAAGCCCAATATAAGTAATTTTAAGCCTAATATAAGCAATCTTAGGATTTATGTAGTACATATATGTGTTATGTTAGGCCTAGAAGAGATTAGATTAGGTTCATGCCATTTTCTCGGGCCCTCTACAGTACCAATAATTTGAAGCGTAGGTTTCTGTGGCGATACAGTTCACATTTTGTACGTACACTCCTCAGACTACATTTACTAACATTTTGGAGGATATCTCGTATAGGTCGAGTATACTTCGTATAGGTCACGTATACGTCGTATAGGTCACGTATTCGTCATAATTATTCGCATCACAAAACCTATTTTTGGTCCTTCTCAGACATGTAAGTCTGATTACGGATGTAAATGTTGATGCAATATGGGCGGAGACTGGGAGAATGAGCGTGTGTGTTGTACTATGTACAGTTGGTGCGGGCAGAACATAAACTTGGACATTAAGCATGAGGCAGCATGGGTGGGGCGCGCCAAGCAGCATTACTTGAGCACAGGATAAGGAATACCTCAGCATGCTGACAATAGGAGACCAGTACCATGGGGCGTGAGCCAAGCCACACTCTCCACAGTCCGCGCATGATAGAAGCTCCTCCAATTACGGTCTGAAAAACCTCTAAAATAACCGTTACTAATGTGGGCTAATCCTTATAGTCCTGTACACGGAAGTGTCACTACAAGTTCAAGTATGTTTATCGAGATAAGCAATAAATACATTTCAAAGGGATAGAGTAGCTTAGGCTATTTCTATCCCCCTAAGTGTATCCTCGGACTAATGTCTCGTCAACCTTCATTTATTCAGATCAAATAGTCTGTATCCTTATTTCTTGTTAAGTTTATATGAATACAGTATATTATATTTATGTACAGCATTAGATTATTATATGTGGGTAAGTTTTTGCACGGTGGAATATATGTAGCACTCAAGGGTGTTGCCATCTCGAGATCTCTCATTTTATTTCCAGAACTATATTGTGATTTAATCTTGTATAGAATCTTCTGATACACCACCACACAGTGGCCCAGACTATGCCCCTCCCTCACTAATTTATTATTATTATTATTATTATTTTTATTGAGAAAATCAATAGAAACCACGATAAGGATTCGAGCCTGCACACTGGATACTTCCATGTAAACGCCCTAACCAGCTCGGCTATGACATGCTAAAAAGCAATGCAACTTGGGATTCAACAGAATCCTCTAAGGGTCCGAGTTGATTAGGACGTCAACTTGGGGAGTACCCAGTGTGCAGGTTCGAATCCTTATCATGGCTTCTAATGATTTTCTCAGTAATAACAATGGGACTTGGTCATCAGATGTAGAATGTGAAGTGAAGCGTCCATAGAGCAAGGCGTAGTGTGCCCTGAGAATTTTCATATATGTATATATTACAAAACGTTTCCATCCAGATTTGTCCCTCACCATTTATAATATGATGTTGACATGCTCCCAGCTTCGTCTCACACACTCTCACTATGTCCACGCTCTCCTCCTCGTGTCTTCACATTCATTTGAACTCACTCTCTTCGACAATCCAACATCATCCATCTGTTCAACATGTCCGAACTATCTCAGTATGCTCTCTTCAGCCTAACAGTTTATTGACTTTTGCACTGCACATCTTTATTATATTATCACTCCCTAGTCTAGTCTCCTAACACCACACACGCTTCTCAGTGTCCATGTCTAATGCTTTAACTCTTGCTTGTTTCCGTCGGCACTGCCACTCCCTCGTGCAGTCCTCTGGCTGCATCTGCAACATTCTTATCTTGTGCTCCCTTACCAGGACGTCATTGCATCAACCACTTTCCTTGTTGCACTCGCCATACTTTCAACTGCGATTGCACAAATTCCTCTTCTGGTAGTAGCACATTCCAAATAATTTAAATGATCGACCACTTCCAGTACTTCCACATTCACATTTCTTTCCCGCCAGAACGTTCATCTCTCTACACCACCATAACTTTGATTTTGTCTACATTCACTTTGAACTCGTCTACACAGCTCTCCTTGACTCGCTCTCATAACTGACAGTAGCCCGTAGAATGGAGCCGGTCGGCCGAGCGGACAGCACGCGGGACTTGTGATCCTGTGGTCCTGGGTTCAATCCCAGGCGCCGGCGAGAAACAATGGGCAGAGTTTCTTTCACCCTATGCCCCTGTTACCTAGCAGTAAAATAGGTACCTGGGTGTTAGTCAGCTGTCACGGGCTGCTTCCTAGGGGTGGAGGCCTGGTCGAGGACCGGGCCGCGGGGACACTAAAGCCCCGAAATCATCTCAAGATAACCTCAAGATAACCCTGTGAACAACGTGTGCACACCTCTCTAATAATCTTACCTCGACCTCCCTTATGACATCATCCATATAAGTATTTAATAACCAGAATCATCACACAACACTGACGCACATACATTAAGCCAGTCACTCATTGCAACTTACATATTACATGCTCATCACTTTGTTATGCTTTTCCAAGTCAAAAAAAATGCAATGCGCACCTTGCAATATTTCACACGAGCCTTTTCTATAAGCTTTCTAAATGAAAATATCTGATCTACACACCGTCGTCCACTACAGAACCCACCTTGTTCGTCACTGATCAATTTCTCAGTAATTTCCTGTACTCCTCCAATCACAATCATGCCATACACAGTGCCCCACTACACCATGTTCTACAATGCTTGATAGTTCTTTCACTCTACGTTCACCGTAAATAGTATACAGTAATACAATCACTAGTACAGTCATTTGACAACTTATACACAACTACTCCATTCAATGAACAAGAAAAAATAGTCACTTGCTATTACAAATACCACTACTAAGTCATTGGCTATCACAAGGACCAATACTAAGTCACTGGTTATCAAAAGAACCAATACTAAGAAGCACTGCCTATCACAATAAGTTACTGATCACCATCGAAATCTTAAACAAGTAGCTTCATACTCCCTGTAGCCTAATCGAGTAACTTTCTCTTCCCAAACATTGTTCTAAAGATAAGATTTCTAATCACTTTAAAAATGTTTCTTTTAGACATTTCTTTACAAGGTGTTTGTTTCTACCATAACTCTTAAGATCCCGACCAAAGCGCCCCTCATCTGTAGGGAATTACCTCTGCATTCTTAGCCTCGGATACCAAGCAATAGGGTTGTTGACCAAGCCAGATCCTTGTAACATTACCGTAGTCACAGAACCCACATACTCTTCGGAAAAACTCTGCAATTTGTAAACAATGTAACATTTCACATCGAGAAAGTGGCTATATTATGGGAAATTTCACTAGTAATTGAAATACAATGCTAAGCTAAATTATAATAATTTACAATTACTTTATCGCCTCCAGAACCTGAGAAATGGAAATATAAGAGAATAATTATAAACAAGGTGCCCACCAATCCCACTCACAGAATATATGGATATTTTAAGCGCTAATTATATAAATAATAACTACAGTTGTCAGCCTAATATATGTCAGCTTTAGTGTATGTCTGACAACATTCAAGTGGGGGGGGGGGTTATTGTCGTTTCAGTTTTTTCAAAGCGACGCATTTTCTGCTTATCTGAAAATAAAGGCAGATTTTCTATTATATTGTCCATTCATAATCTTGTCCAACTCCTGCCCCATAGCCATCGACTCCTGTACATTGTCCATCATCTTCAGTACCTTATCCGTCAACTCCTGTACCTTGTCCATCAATTCCTGCCCCTTCTACTCGAACTCATACCCATGTCCATCAACTCCTGTACCTTGTCCATTAACTCATGCCCCTTTTCCATCAACTCATACCCTTTGTCCATCAGCTCATGCCTCATGACCATCAATTCCTACCCCTTGTTTATCAACTTCTGTCCTTTGTCCATCTACTCCTGTACCTTGTCCATCAACTATCAACATGAAATATTTCAAAGATCTTCATAAGGAGCATATTGGTCTATTGATCTTCATGATGCCTTAGTGTTCTCTAAGCTTTTTGATTGTTGCCGTCGGAGGCTCACAGGAACAATCCTGGCTTTCCTTCAGATCCAGTACACTTCTATTGTCTTTATATGCACTTGATTGGTCTTTATTTTCAAAATACTGTATTATGAAATTAACAAAATTCAAAAGATAAACGCTGAATTATAATGTCTGGCGATGTATTAAAGATAATATTGATGTCATTAAGATAGTAATAGGCAGAGTACCAGCAGAAGTAGCCTCACCTCGTGGTTCCACATTAACCTCCAGAGCGTTGCCTAGTATGGGGAGCGCCTTAGGCCCGGGGATCTGTTCAATTAGCCAGATCTGTCGAGGAAAATAGTTCGGAAGATAAACAAATGAAGATCATTAAAAACATTTTTAACGGTCTTAAAAAATCAACTCGCAATTTACAGCAAAACTAATGTATCTATAATTGTATTTAATTAAATGACACGAAGAATTAAAATTTGATTTATCGGAAAGGAATTGTATTGGTTCTCCAGTGTATAGAATAAAGGGATATTTAATAAATAATATACATATACTGAGTATAGTGCCCAGGCCATATACTGGCCAGTGTCCAGGCCATATATTTTCCAGTGTCCAAGCCATATACTGTCCAGTGTCCAGGCCATACACTGTCCAGGCCATATACTATCCAGTGTCCAGGCCATATACTATCCAGTGTCCAGGCCATATACTGCGACCAGTGTCCAGGCCATATACTGCGACCAGTGTCCAGGCCATATACTATCCAGTGTCCAGGCCATATACTGCGACCAGTGTCCAGGCCATATACTATCCAGTGTCCAGGCCATATACTGCGACCAGTGTCCAGGCCATATACTGCGACCAGTGTCCAGGCCATATACTGTCCAGTGTCCAAACCATATACTGGGCGCAGAGCCTTCAAGCCATATAATTACTGTTAAGTATGTACGTACCTTCTGCTGCCTCTTGAAGAACCAGACGAGGGTGACAGCGATGAGGGTGGTGAGTGTGGCGTAGGTGACCAGGTTCGGCACCATCAGCAACACATCGTCTCTGTGCCAAGTCATGTTTCCTAGAAACATTTATAACATTAATTACACAACTAACACACCTTTAAATGCAGTATATGAAAATCATAATGCTTTAATCAACAAGTATTATTTTCTTGACAAAAAATAAAATGCAAAATTACATCATTACGATTACTATTTTTCTTACGAAAATGTCGCAATGTTTTAGGGAAAATCTCATAATGTAGATCAATAATGATCTTGACATTTCTGGTTTGAAATGTACTTTAAACGAATTAATTTAACCAATAATCAGCCAAATACCAACTCCAACCTATCACCTGGCAAAGAGACTTAACGAACTCCTAACTCCATACACTCCAAGCAACTATAGTCTACAATCATCAGCAGATTTCCTAGAATTAATCAAAACTACTCAGCCCGATGGAATCATTGCTTCCCTGGACGTCGAATCCCTATTTACCACCGTCCCAGTCGACACAACCATAGGAATGATACTGGACAGAGTATACAGAGACGAGAGCACCCCCAAATTAGACATACCCGAGCCACACTTGAAGAGCCTTCTCGAGGCATGTACAAAGGAAGCCCCTTTCATCAGTTCACAAGGGGACATGTGTCTACAAATAGACGGAGTAGCAATGGGCTCTCCCTTAGGAGTGTTATTCGCTAATTTTTATATGGGAACCATCGAAGATAGAGTCTTCAGTAGTAGACAAAAACCAACTGTATACTGTTATGTAGATGACATATTCGTCACAGTAAAAGACTCAGATGAACTAATTGATCTAAAAAACCATCTAGAGAGAAAGTCAGTACTCCGGTTTACAAATGAAAATAGTGAAAATAACAGTCTGCCATTCTTGGATGTACTAATAACAAAAACAGGAACCTCTTTAAGCACCAACGTATATACTAAGCCCACCAACATAGGATTATGCCTGAACGGTAGAAGTGAGTGCCCCCAAAGATACAAAGCCAGTGTTCTCAATGTTTAATTCGTCGAGTGCTTACCCACTGCTCCGAATGGAGCAACGTGAGTAGAGAGTTTGAAAGAATAACTCAGGTATTTGGTGAACAACGGATATTGCAACACGGAAATAAACGCTGCTATAAGAAGACACTTGGACCGTTGGTATAATCCTGATCCTAGAACAGAAACCAGAACACCTCCAATAAAATTATATTACAAATCAACTATGCACAGTGAACATCAAAAAGAAGAACGAATAATGAAAGAAATAATCCGTAAAGGAGTAAA